CTGAAGTCATAGCGCTGTGGGGAGTCGCCAGCGTTGTTTTTTGCGATGGCTGAATGCGACAAGAGAGATACGACTTCAGAAACTGAGAGACCCTGGCTGCGGAAGCCGTTCATAAGTTTCCGCTCGCGCCGCAGGTGGGCCAGTAACGAATATGGGTTGACGTCACGAGTGGGAATGTTCAGGCCGTTGACTTTGATGAAATCGACGCCGCCCATCAACCATTGGTCGTGGTTCTTCTCGAGGCCTTGAAGAAATTCATCAGAAGCGTTGTGGGCAGCGATGATGGACGAGTATTTGGGAAAGTCCTGAACGAGCTTCAGAAGGGTGTTCATGGAATCCTCGCTCTGAAGCACAAAGCTAGCAGTCTTGAGTCCGAGATCGGATACTTCGTCTTTGGAAAGAGGCTTGAGATCGGCAACATCTTCTTCGTCGTTCAAGCCAGTTTCCATTGTTTTCTGTGCGGCGTTCTTGTCGCTCTCGGTCGCCTGCCTGTCGTCAATGACAATGTAGTCGGTCCGCTTCAACTGAAGGGCAACACCATATCCATTGACTACTAGTGGCGATGTGGGCGCCTTGGGAGATGGCTTGTGTCTGATGCGGTACGATGTCTTTCCTTGCTTGGCGGTGGTGCTCAGTGTCTTGTGCCATTTTTTGAATCTTGGGGCAGTGATGTCGGCGTAGAGAATGGCGGGTAAAGCTGAGCTGTTGCCAAGTATGCGGTCAAAGGGTAGTTGGTATGTACTGTCCAGCCGTCAGTGCCTCGTCTTCCCAAGAGTAACGTGGTACGGACCGTTCACTTGCAATATCCCCAAAGGGCTCATCCAGATGCACCGAGCAATACTGTTTGCCGTGAAATGAGACCCATAGATCACATGCTTCTGTTTGCTTTGCCGACAAAGAAGGCTCTACTGAAGTATTGTAGAACTGGTAGTGTGCTTCGATGCGTGGCGCGGCCGACCGAACTGAAAGCGCAAACTCGAAGGAGGCAAGGGCTTCTGGCTGAGTGATGTGACCATCGGCATACAGCAGGTCGACAAATGCTGTATACAGCTCCTGGTCGGTGGTCTTGTCGTCAAAGTAGCCCTCGGCAACTCGGTCAAGAATGGGGTAGTATGCAGTCGCGTTCTCCTCAGCTGCAGTTTCTCTGCAGGTTGTCAGGCTGTGTATGGAGTACTATTTCGGGAGCTACTTACAGTAGCTCAACGAGATATGGTGCAGGATTGAAGGCGGCCCGCAAGGCGACGTTGATACTGGGACTGGCCAAAGTGCCCATGTGGCGGAATGCAGTCAGCACAAATAGCGCCTTTGCACCCAGGACAGAGGCCGAAGCTCTCATAGTGCCGGGCTTTGTCCAATCGCTACAGCACTTTGTCGTAGTGTGTGACGGGACAAGGCAGGGTTTGGTGTTTGTGTCGAAAGGTCAACTCTCGATGTTAAGAAGATGCAACGTGTAGCATAACTTGGCTGACGAAACGCGCACGCAGAAACAGAGTGTGGTATGCTGCACAGTGCTGGATGTGATTTGGTAAGTCCAGCGTGCCTTTTGTCCTCGGAAAGAGACAGCGGCTCTTGTTGAGCAGGAACTTGACGGCTCAATGTCTTGACAATGTATCTTGGAGTGACGGGCGCGACAGCATTTGGTACGGCAGGCGGTTGTTACCCAAAGCGATGCGGCTGTCTTATCTTATCGGTCGCTGCCTCGGAACCGTTCCGACCGCAGGCTACAAGAACAAGTACAAATGCAGAGTATGTGCACACCCGGTCACGTGATACGCTACCATCGCTTCAGCTGGTACGCCATGTGCTCCAAGCTTTGGCAGCGCAACAATGCAATACGACTCTCTTCGGGGGCGGCGATAATTCATAAGCTACTGGAGGGTAAGTAGCATAACGGCGATAGAGAGGTTAATTATAGAAGTTTTTTTTGTGTATGTCGAGAGTCATGGAAAGTCATTGAGTTGTTTGGTACTCTCGGAAACTCTGGCAGAGATTACAGAAGGCTATTTGTCGGTCCTTTTCTTGCCTTGTGCACGACGAGACTCAACGAAAGGTTTGTGGCGTGAAGAGGACAAAATTAATTTTGAGTAAGCATCCGTGACACGGGCTATGTTTTAGCTACGCACTAACCGTTACCTACCGCAACGCGTTCTTCCATGTCATTTGGACCAATTCTGTGAGTCCTCAACGAACTACTTGTTGACGGAGGTTTACATGGTAGTACCGACTCTTGCGACAATGGTACATATACACAGTACCTATCAACTAAACAGGGTACTATGGACCTACTTTATCCGCCTACTATATCCAGTTCGCCATACACCAGCGGGGGAAAAAAAGGCAATATCCGCAGACGACGACTCGCAAACAGCCCACCGACTGCTGTATGATTACGTATCCACACATGGACGACCCAGCTGGAAACATGACATGCATGGTGGCCCTGCCAAGGTGTTGCGCCAGGCCGGATGCTAAGGGGATAGCGGGGGACAAGCGTGCGCGTCTGCCTCTGCCTGGGCCCTAACGGTGGACAGACAGACACAGGCGAGCGGGCGTGCGGGCCAGTGACGACGCCAAACACGATACGTATACGACGGCCTGCTCCACCACCACCACCCCTTCCCCCCCCCCCCGGCCACGCTGACGACGGCGTCTGTCTCCGCCCGTGTTTTGCATGCATTCATCTGTCTGCCCACGCCCGTCCACTCTCCAATGCCGTGAATCCACCTGCCCCATCCCTCTCCGCCATCTCCGCCATCATGCTCAGCGGCCCGCCTAGGATCATTCCCTTTGTCTTTGTCTTTCTCGCCCTCACCTTGGTGTGGTGGTACCTGCATGCTGTCCCTGGCGCAGGCCCGTCATTGGCAACATGGAAGCCCCAAACCTCACCACCCGCCAACCGTCCCTCGCTGCGCGGCGACCCTCTCGACTTTGGCCTGCCCCTGCGCTTCGCAGACCCTGTGCCCAAGCCCCCGGGAAGCAACTACACGTACAAGATTGTCGTCCCCAAGACACAGAAGGAGGACATTAGCTGGATGGAGACCGAGATTCCCGATGCGCCCCTCGTAGTCTATGAAGTCGACAATCCCGATGCCGAGCACAAGATCCCCAAGAACAAGGGCCGCGAGGCCATGGTATGATTCCTCTTTTTTTTTCCCCTACCCATGTGCTGCTGTTGCGCGTACATGCAGGCTGACCCACGCGCTCCAGGTGTACCTCTCCTACATCATCGACCATTACGACGACCTTCCCGACACCGTAATCTTTATGCACGCCCACCGCCACGCATGGCACAACAACATGCTCCTCGGCCTCGACGCTGCCCAAATGATCAAGCGCCTCAACCACGACCGCGTCGCCCGCATGGGCTACATGAACGTGCGCTGCCACCACGAACCCGGCTGTCCCGACTGGATACACATGGACCGTCCTGGCGGCGACTTTGACTTCTTCCATAAACCCGAGGAAATCTATTGGCGAAAGGAGGTCTGGGAAGAGATCCACCCCGGCGCGCCCATCCCGCCCTCCATCTCGGGAATCTGCTGCGCCCAATTCGCCGTCTCGCGCCAGCGCATCCAAGAAGTGCCCATTGAACGCTTCATCCACTACCGCAAATGGCTCCTGACTACCGGCATGGACGATCAGTTTTCCGGTCGCATCTTCGAGTACATCTGGCACTACATCTTCACCGGCCACGAAGTACACTGCCCAGCCATGAACACGTGCTACTGCGACGGCTACGGCTACTGCTTTGGCGGCCTAGCTAAATTCAACGAATACTTCAAGAAACAAGATGCGCGCAACGAAAAGTTTACCGAATACGATGGCTACCAGAAGAAGGAAAAAGAGGCAGAGAAGGACGGCAAAGACTCGCCCCTCACTGAAGATGAGAAGAAGAGGTTTGGCGAGCTCAGGGCCCAGCTTTTGGTTATGGATCGCGAACTTGACGAGCTGAGAGACGCCGCGAGGAAGAGGGGCGACGACCCTAAAGCTAGAAAGGAAGAGACGGAGTCGTACGATTCGAGCCACATCTGGGACTATGCCCCGCATGACAACTGAATGAGCATTTGATGATTACGCGCGCTTGCAGCATGTAAGGCGAACAAAAATTAACAGGCGTTGAGCGGGTGTTTTCTTGCGAGATTAATGGCACCACATAGGGTTTTTTCGTTTCCCTGACCCGGACATGGATTGAGCATGGGGCATACATGACGTTACCTAGATACCTCACATACATATACATGTTTGTTTCGGTGTATGATAGATCTTAAATCTGTACATGTTTCTCTCACTTCTTCTTGTCCTTTGCGTATGCTTGTAAGTTTTGTTATAGTAAAGGTGTGCTGACTTATCCTGCGGCTACATAATTGGTACTGCACGCTCATCACATGCGTGTCCTAGCATACAGCAACCTTACCACTCTATCACTACACACAAATTTCACTTTCTCGCTGGTGAAGGACAAACCAGACGCTGCAAGACTCACAATCATGGTTCCTTCTCTTTTACCTTCCCAACTGAGTGGCGAATGCACCTCCCGTCTTCTGGCAACTACCTCTCTAAGCAAACATTTTCTTTTTTCCATAACTTCTTACTACCCAACCCATCTTGCAACCAGCCGTGTAGCTGCACCCAGCTCTAGGGAAAACCTTTTGCAAACGTCTTTGTTTATTGATGTTTTGTCCGGTTGGCACATTGCTTGCTGTTGGTTTACTACTGGCGTCGCTTGCTCTATCAACTTCACTTTCACCTTCGCTTTCGTCTCCACCCTCGGCCCTACTCTCACTTTTACTTTTGCCTTCTCCATCTCTCTCACCTTCACCCTCGTTTAGTGAGACGCTAGCTTGTTTACCACCTTTGTTTCCAGATACTTCAGAGCGGTCACCGCAGAATCGTTCTTTCGCTCTACTTTAGAACGCACGCGACGCTTTGTTTTGCGTGTACCTCGCGCACTCGGCAGTACTTAGTCAATAAGTTGTCGCATAAAAAGACTGGAAGCTAGCATGTCCACCTCGAGCGATTTCGCTCAATCCCAAGCTGCTGACTGGTCGCCACCAATACCTGCAACGCCAGAACTAGACGCTATCCATGACATCAAGGTAACAAGACCCACTACGGAATGTTCATCTTACTGACTCTGACAAGGTCGAATGGAAACAAAGCATACGAACTGCATACGATAGGAACAAACGCGGAAAGCAACGCCTAGTCGTTGAATTGCATGACTTCGAAATATACCGTTCTCCAGATTACGAAAAAAGAGCATACGAGCTAGCTAGCTTGCACTTTCTCGGGCTTCCACTAAATAAGAGACTATGCTTCGACGGCATAGTGCGCCTAGGGAATGTCGAGCACTATGTGCAGGGTGTACCATTCCAGCAGTGCTCTATCAAAGACTACACAGACAAACAAAATCCAGAGGTTACGTCCTATATTCAATCTGAAATGGCGGCGAATGACAAGGAATACGATATCTGGTATCGGCTCACTCAACCTACACCACAATACCAGCGTCTCCAGGACGCCTTCCTCTGGATAGCTCAGCTTGGAAAGTACGTTCTTCATTACATGGAAGGCGCTTCGCGCTCGCTAGCCTGCTTTCGTGCCAACTTCCACATCTTCCTGCAGGATCGATTTAGTGACAATCGCGATTTTGAAAAATGGCATGCGGCTTTTCGAAATCAAGTCGACTTCCGAGTTGCTGTTGTGACATACATCGAGTACCTTTACAAGGAGGCCTCTCATCGGCCAAATTCCGATCAGTTTGTTAGGCAGCCATTATGGGTTGAGTGCATGGCGAAAGCTGTCACGCCCAATATACCTCGAAAGACAGATCCTGGGCAGACAGTTGCGACACCAGCTGTTTATGCTTGTTTTAAAGACATGTACTTTGGGAAACAAATCCAATCGCAAGCTCCATCCAAGAACGTCCTTGATAAGCAAGAATACAGGAAGAAAAGGCTTAGATTTTTGACAACAACATCATCAGCGTCGCTTTCCTATGACGAGTTGTCCAAGAGCTGTCAGCCATATGGAGCATCCCCGGTAACGGTTGGAGATGTGGTAGCCGTAGTGCCAGACGAAGAAGATTCCAAACTATGGAAACACACCAAACGGAATTGGCTAGCATATGTACAGCGCACACAAACTCTCGACAACGGCATTCAACAACTATTTGTAATGTGGCTGTATTGGCCTCATGATACAAATATTGCCAAAGCCTACTATCCTTTGGAAAACGAAGTCTTTCTGTCGGACCATTGCAATTGCGCAGAAAGAGCGCTGCTATCCACTGAAGTCAAAGGCAAATACGACTTTGAATGGTGCCCTCCGGTTACTAATGCGAAGCGCCTTTTCGTCAGACAAAAGTACATGACAGAAAAGAGCTCATTCGTGAGTGTGAAGGACAGTGACAAAACTTGCTTATGTCACAGACAAATTCGTGCACCTGTCACCGCTACGTACACGTCTGGTGACACAGTCTATCTAACACCATCGCAAGATCACCAGTTACTAGAGCCAGTCATCATCCAACATATTGACGAAAAGAAGGGGACGGCAACTGTGCGGAAGCTGTTGCGACTCGGGCGTGATTGCGCTGAGCTGGCAACGAATCTGCAGCGATCGAACATCGCTCCAAACGAACTTGTACTCACGGATGAATATCCCGAGACGAAGGTTGATCGGATCCAGCGTCACTGCTTCATACGATTTGTCTCAAAATCAGATATCACAGCTAACGAAATACCCTTTCCGTACAACCGCCAAGGCGCTGGCGATCTATGGTTCATCTCAATGGGATTGAGTGTTAACAACGAAGGACAGAAGAGGCTCTTATATCTTCAGCGCCTTCCATGGAACATGCGCCAACGCACAAAGATTGGATTAGACAACAAACTTAGAGGCTCCAGCATCTTCAGTGGCGGTGGATTGCTAGACAGGGGTCTCGAAAAAGGTGGGGCTTTAGAGTTTCGTACTATTGTCGACTCTAGTCAACATGCTATCCGGACGCAGCAAGCGAACATTAAGAAATCTTCCACAGTTTGTCTGTACTGTGGCTCAGTAAACACTTTTCTTAATTCAGCGCTTAAAGGGGACACGAGCTTCATTGCCAGAGTTGGCGATGTGGACTTTATTGCTGCAGGATGTCCTTGCGTTGGTACGTATACATAGTAGATTCACTCCTTAATTGGTTAGCTTGGCACCTTGCTGATAGTTCTCACAGCATTCTCTGGACTTCAGCAAAACCCCCTGAGCCCGAACTCATTGCTCAACGCGTCTCTCATTAGTACATTCTGCTCTTTTGTAGATCTTTACCGACCTTTATACGGCGTACTGGAGAACGTATTGAACATTGCATCAGGACGGGCAGGCCGCTCAGCACTATCTCAGATGGTGGCTTGCCTGGTATCATTTGGATATCAAGTGAACCAATTTATTATGGACTCCTGGAACTACGGCAGCCCACAGAGACGCTCACGCGCAATGATCACCATAGCAGCTCCTGGTCGTCAGCCCATCGTGCAGCCATATCACACTCACCGTCGATCCGACGAGGAAGTTCGTGGAAGAAGCCTAGGCCAGCTACCCAACGGGGAATTCTGTGCCGGACGTCAGTATTACCCAACGCCTTTTTATCATGTCCCTGCAGAGACTGTTAGTTCCGGGCTGCCCGATATTGGATATAGCACCGCACAAACATGTGTACCGTACCCAGACCACCGAATACCCCATGTACCCACTAGACAAGATCGATCTCTACTAGATTGTATTCCAAAAGAACCCCCAGGTTGTGGATACAGAGAGGCGGAAGAGCTTGGGCTTGTTCCGCCCAATTCACGCAGGAAAAGAGAGATCGGCAAATCTTACCAGAGAATCAAGAAAGCTGGCTTAGTACCCACAATCACAACAAGTGCATGTATTTCAGATGCCAGAAACGGCGCTGTGATGCATTGGGAAGAAAGCAGATCCATCAGTCTCCTGGAGGCTCGTCGCGCACAGGGAATTGACGATGTTGAGCCGATCATCGGAACAATCACAGATCAGTGGAGAATTGCCGGTAATGGTGTGGATCGCACAGTGGGGTTTGCTCTCGGGTTAGAACTGCTTCGAGCTGTCGAAAGCAACGACCTAGAGTTCACATCTACCGGAACTGCAGAAACATCTCCTACGTCAATTGAAGGCACAGATGACTTCTTACCCCGAAGCCCTCGCAAGTATGAGGATGACTTTTCGCATCTCGAACAGACACTCAGCAGTGGCGTGAGCAGGCTTTCTACAACTCCGATGGACTGTAAAGCAAAGTCTGCACTGCAACCAGCTCATGTCAAACGCACGAGGGAAGACGACTTGGACTCTAGCAAGCGGCCAAAAAAACAGGCACGAACAAGCAAGGCGCAAGATGCTTCTGCCAATCTCGAAAATAGGGCAACGTCCATTGACCCAGGCAGGGATAGTGAACAAAGCTCGATAGGTTGGACGGGCTCAACAGGTTCGACAAAGGCACGATACACACGTCACTCAGGGCTACCGGTCGAGTTTGCTCCGAAGAACTGGAGTAAGAGGGTGGAAGCCACGCGTCGCGACTGGATTTGATTGATGACGACGATGAAAGGAAAAAAGGCAGTAGAGCGAGAGTTTATTCACGGATCTTATTGAGAAGTCAATCTACCATATAGTTTACACTGCACTACATGTATATAGAAACCATTCCACATAATTCATACCTATACTGTACCTACACTGAAATCCCCCCACCCCCCAAGAAAAGAACATCAACACCACCATACCAAGCAAGTCGACTCCACCTTTACTTCCACTCCACACCCCACGTCTGCTCCCCCCTCCTAAACGGCACAACCTCGACACTTCCCCCCTCATTACTCAGCACATCCAGAATCCTCTCGCCACCCCTCCTCAACACAACCCTCTCCCCCCTCTCATCCCCAACCTGATAAAACGACCTCCCCCACCCCCCAAAAAACCCCTCCAACCCCTCCCGCGTCACCTCATCCTTTGAGATGACACCCCTCTCCACCCCTTTCTCAAGCGCATCAAGCACATACCCCAAGGCATGCGGCTGCGTAAACACACCGGCCGCCACCTTATCCTCGCCCCTCTTCTTGACGCGCGGATGCGGCGCCGAATCCGTTCCTAGGAAAAAACTCCCTTTGCTTTGGACGACAGCGCGAAGCAGGGCATCCCTATCCTCGGGGGTCTTTGCGACGGGTTTGCAGAAGCAAAACGGGTCGCCGGCCCAGTCGTCGATGATGAGGGAGAGGTGGTGCGCGGTTATTGTGCCGGCAACGGTGGGGCCGCAGGAGAGGACGGTGCCGAGGGCGGCGGCGGTGCTGCAGTGTTCGAGGATTATGCGGAGCGAGGGGAAGTGTTTGTGCAGGGAGACGAGGGTGGGGAGGAAGGCGGGTTCGGCGTTGAGGATTGTGATTGCGTCCTTTTTGTTTTCGTGCGAGGTCGGGGCGTGAGAGGGGGTTGAGGGGACTTCGCCGTGGAGGTTGAGGACCATGTTTTGTTTTTCCATTTCGGCGAAGACGGGGTAGAAGGTTTCGTAGTCTAGGACGCCTGAAGAGGAGTTCTATTGGGGGTGGGGGGTTTGGTTAGTTGGGAGTGTTTTTTTTTGTGTCTGGATATTGATGTCAACTTGACTTACTGTAGTAACACCAGCAGGGTACGACTTCACTCCCGTGATTCCGGCTTTTTTCGCTTCACGAATGACCTCGGGTGTGATGTCTTCATGCAAGTAGAGAGACATGAGATACTCGACATTTGGCTCAATAGCCTTTAGTCGGTCGCGGTACTCGAGGCATTGCTTCACTGTAGTAATGGGTGGCACAAGGTTTGGCTATACGACAAGTCAATATCAGAAAATAAGAACAGCATTTTTTAAACATAGTGTATAGCAGGAGACTGGTGAATTGTACAAAGTTGAAGTAAGAAAAGACGATACACGTGACCATTTAGAAAAAAGACTGTGATGACTAAGAAGTAGGAGAAAAGAAAGACAAGATACCGTATTAACTGAGGAGTAAACAAGAATGAGAAGGGAGGTAAAATCCACTTGGAATCATCGTCATGGCATATCGAAACAAAAAAAAAACGTACCATGACATAAACCGTATTCACACCACCTTTTCGAATAGTAGGCGCAACCAACTGCGACATTTCTCCATCGCGCAAGTGCACATGGGCGTCAAACGCCGCAGGCAGCTCAATCTCCTGTATCGTTGTAATATCCATATTTCCCAACTTTGTTTGTAAGGTTTTACAAATTTGGACGTTAGTATGATCGTTGTTGTGGGGGGTTTGACCACTACGAGAAACAATTTTGAGATGGCCGCCCCAAATGCGGGGGGTACGCTAAGCCAAATGGGGTAGAACACCGCAACGGTAGAAGATAGCTGCAAATGCAATCGCAAAAGTAAGAAAAAAGTCTCTATGTGTAGAGCGAGTTGGTCTTGCTGACCTATTAAAGCGATTACAGGCTAGAGCCACCTGGTCCAAAAATACGGTATACATGACCCATGATTACGTTCCGTCCAGTACTTGATCCTCCTAAACACCTTTCGCCATAGGGTATATTAAATCCTCCTCACGTGCACTTGCGCATCAACCATCCTGCCCATACAACAAAACCCCAGCCTTACTAACCTGAATGCATCACCGGCGCGTTTAACATTCCCGCCGAAGCTTCATTCTCCAGTGATATCTTCATTTCGAGCCACGAGTAAAAGTTTGGCGAGTTGCAAAATGTCTCGTACATGCCGTCTCTTGCACGATGCCTTTGTAGTGGATTTGATCCGCGAAATTTGACGCTGGTTCCGTGTTTGTTGACGCTGCTTAAAAATTCTCGTACCTGGAAGCTGGCATACCTACTGTTGCCTCCTGGTGTTACGACGTGCGACGTTGCGAGGTAGCGATTGATAGGCGCGATGAACTGAGCAGTGAGCTCGGCAAAGTGGCGGCGTATGATGGGCCCGAGGTCTTGAGTTTGATCCCCAAGCTTCAGTAGGGCGTCGATTTGCGATACTACAGTTGGATCTGATTTGAGAAAGCGTTTTGGGGGAGTGTGGACTTCGATACCACCGCCCGGGAGATCGAGAAGTGCGTTGCGGCTTGACTTGTGATGTAGTGAATGGTGGCGACGCATGGGTACAGGACCATCAAAGTTTTGCAGGTATAATATGTGCGGCCGGGCTTGGTGACTGGCCTCGACAGCGGCGATGATGCGCTTCAGTAGAAAAGGATTGGTGACACCAGCGATGAAGGACGTTGGCGTGCCACCATCGATACCAATACTCTTGAAATTTGCCTGCATAGTCATATACGGCCGAACCACGCCGGCATAGGGGACCGGGCAGATGAGGTCAAGAAGCGAAGACACAGCCTCGCTCGCTAGTTGTGGAGACTTTGCGATGACGATGACGCTTTCACACAGGATTAATTTCTCGTAAAGCACATATAAGTCGGTAATGCACGGCATGTAGTGCATGATGCTGTCCCAGGACCCAATCGGTTCATATGCATAGATGGATTGAGCAGTGTCGGATATCAGAGGGTTGGGACCTGGAAGGCCTTGCAGAGGAAAAGCGCGATGTGGTGCAATGTCCAGTCTCAACACACTGCCCAGAAAAGGTAGGTCGTGGTGGCCAAGGGCTGGGGGCATCCAATTGTTCATTTGCCGGTATGCGGCTTCCAGAGTGGTCGGGTCACTGAGATGGCCTGATTCCGTCATCTTTTGTAAGATGCGGTGGTTCAAGGCGGTAAAGTTGTGATGGGAAATCAAGACCAGGGCTCTTTGGTTGAAGCTCCTCTTCATGGTATCGTCAAACTCTTGGCGGAAGATACACGAGGCATACAGGGTGATTGCGCTGCCATGGGGCGCGTTGGGCGAGGCGATGTGGATGTCAGGCGAATTGTTGGTAATGGCAAAGTCGTAGCAAAGATCCTCTGCGGTTTCTGTGTTTTGTTGCTCTGGGAAGCTGCAGACGCCTTAGACGAGGCCGATGTGAGTTAGACGAGGAAAGGGTACCTGTTGAAACAAATTGCGCTCAAGTCGCCCGTGGAAAAGGGGATGTGAGGCGGGTAGAGAATCTCGATTTCCGGACTGTCTCAAGTTTCAACATGATGTCGCGAGATTTGGATCTTCGGCTCCTGCCTACCCTATGTCAACATTGAAGTTGCAGACGATACTGGAGCGGTTAGTCTTGGCTTGGAGCGGCGCAGGTGGAGACTCACAAAGCCACGGCCCAATACTTGAAGCCCCCAGTTGCGATGGGAGACAGCTTGGGCTCTCGTAGCTTGTCCATGTCGTCTTGTTGTCGATCCCGACGATGGGGGGCCAGCAGCTTGTTCTTCAACCTGTGCATCGGGCAGCCTGATGCACCTGACCGGCGCAGGTGAACCCAGCAGGAGTAATGGGTGTGAGGCAGTGGGCAGATGGCGTTGGTCAAAGCGAGGGAACCTGATGCGCGTCCAATAGGCTAGCAGCTTTAGCGGCAGACGAGGCCGACGAGCGTCATGGCTATCATTGCGGGGTGTGAGAAGAAGCAAAGTAAAAGGGGTCGCGGTGCTGACATGATGCCACTAGGGGGCGGCCATGGCATATCAAGAGAGCCTCTGGCGGGGAGCTGAGTATGCGCGTGTGAAAGTAAGAGTATCGCGGGAGTCAATGAGCGGGCGCAGGGGGGCGGGCGCTTGTGTACGATGACGTGGGGCGCCCCCGACTCACGTATGGCGTGTGGACAGACCTCATCTATACTGTGTAGATACACTTTTACCGAGATGTCACAAGATAGTTGTCCAACTAAAATGATGTTGATTACTATGATAAAAACAGACTTTCTCTAGCGATGTTTGCCTTTTCTGAACCTGACCCCATCACCGTCTTTCTCCTTCCAGCCAGTGGCTTCTGCTCCCTCGCCGTCGTCTCCCAACACCCATGTCTTGACAATCTCCTTTATTTCGGGTTTCTTCTTCTCCAACCTCTTTGCTTCCTTGACCTTTCTTACATAGCCGCTATAAACTGCCACCTCGGCTACGGCTATGCCCAGGGAGCCTCCCATGCTCAGTCCCAGCCTTGAACCAACGGTCCAGTGGCGTGCAGCAACCCATATGAAGACGGCAACGCAGACAATCGAGATTAATATGTTGATTATGAGAATTATTTGGCGATGCACCTCCTCGTAGGATAAGTCTTCTTCTTCGCTCGTTGTCTGTCGAGCCCCGATGCTGAAGGGTTCTGGAGCGTGGGGGAAGCGCTGGGAAAAGGTTTCGCGGGTAGGCGGTGGATGGAGCATGCGTTCGTAGGAGAGGGCTTCTTGTTCAGCGCGGAGTCGGGCCATGAGAGCCTCGTACTCGGGTGTCTTTGCTGGCTTCGGGGGCGGGGGCGGCGTGTACAGTGTGGTGTTGGTGAGAAGAGATGCGAGGGTTCTGGGAATGGGTTCTTCGGCATCCTTTGTGGCCTCTTCGCCAGCTACAGGTTCATCTGACTTCGAACGAGGAAGATGCTTCTTGAGCAGTTTGGAAAGGTCGACCAGCTGGCTGTGTGAGATGGGGCTGCCTGGTGTGGCATGTGCGAGCGTGGGTTCGTCGGCGCGTTGCAGGCTGGCGTAGTCGTCGGGCGATAACTCGCCAGCTTTTGCGACTGCCCGGACGATGCCGGGCGTCATGGTCAGAAGCACCATGGTGGAGTGTGATTGTGTGTATGGTTGTGGTAGGTATTGGCCTGGAGGAAAGTTCCGACTTCACACGCATGTGCATGTGCGGCACGTCGGTAAGTATCGCCAACGTCGCGACCGACAGGGATAATGCGGCGGCCATAGGCAGCTAGCGTTCCGAACGTCATGGATATTTTAAACTTACCAAATCTCGGCAGTAGCTTACAGGCCAACTCCAATTGTGCGGCGACTAGCTCACCTCCGCCCACTTCCTCTGCTGCTGGACCCTGCCAGAATTGCTCAATTGCACCTGGAAACCGCCATTCGCCCTCCGCCACACTGCCAGCACCCAAAACTCCCCCTCCATGTTGAGCCGCTCTCCCCGGCTCGCGCCGTTTATCGCGCGACCGCAAACCTCGTGTCCCTCCTCTACAATATACCGCTCGATATGTCCCTACAGTAGCGTCGCCCTCTCACGCTCCATACAAAATCAGAAAGCTGCCCCATCACTGCACCACCCCTCCCGGCGGCGGCACCAATCGTCATGGGCTACCGCTGTGAATGTTGCGCAGCATGTGCGGGCGACGCCGCCACCAGATGCGCCGATAAAGATGGATCCTTTCCAAACCGTAGCGCGAGAAATGAAGTTTTTGACAGGTAACATACGGCAATTGCTCGGCTCGGGACATCCCACCCTCGACACCGTGGCCAAGTACTACACGCAGAGTGAGGGGAAATATGTACGGCCCATGCTCGTCCTGTTGATGAGCCGCGCTACGGCCCTCACACCCCACCGAAACATTGCGAGGGGTGGCATTGGCAGCCAGAGCGCAGACATTAGCATAACAAACCTGAGCATCCTCGCAGACGAGAACCCAGACACCAGCCCCATCAGCAGCATACGACATGACTCCGCCTACACCCCAGAAGACAGCGACATCCTCCCTTCGCAACGGCGGCTCGCAGAAATCACCGAACTCATCCACACAGCCAGTCTGCTCCACGACGATGTCATCGACCACTCCGTCTCGCGCCGCGCCGCACCTTCTGCAAACATTGAATTCGGCAACAAAATGGCAGTGCTGGCCGGAGATTTCCTCCTAGGTAGAGCATCTGTCGCGCTCGCTCGCCTGCGCGACCCAGAAGTCACGGAGCTGCTTGCCACGGTGATTGCAAATCTCGTCGAGGGTGAATTCATGCAACTCAAGAACACTGCGCGCGATGAAAAGAACCCCATATGGACTGAAGAAACCGTCTCGTATTACCTCCAAAAGACATATCTCAAATCCGCCTCGCTCATCTCAAAGAGTTGTCGTGCCGCTGCTATTCTTGGTGGCTCGACTCCCGAGGTAGTCGAAGCGGCGTATCTCTACGGCAAGAATCTCGGTCTCGCGTTCCAGCTTGTAGACGATATGCTGGATTACACCGTTAGCGAAGCTGAGCTAGGCAAACCCGCAGGTGCGGATTTGGAACTCGGACTCGCGACTGCGCCGCTGCTTTTTGCCTGGAAGGAAAATAAGAGTCTGGGCAAATTAGTTGGCAGGAAGTTTTCGGAGAAGGGAGACGTGCAACAGGTTAGTCTTTCTCCCTTCTTCTCTTTCTCTCTTTTTTTTTGTGTGAAACTGGCCTTGCGCCCCGACCCAGCGAAGAGAAAAAAAAAGTTACCTAGGAAGTATCCCGCGCTAACATTACAACCTTCAAGGCCCGCCAAATCGTCGCTCAGTCCTCAGGGCTCGAGCAAACCCGTGCCCTTGCCCAGGAATACGTCGATAAAGCTATCGATGCTATTTCCTTCTTCCCGGACTCGGAGGCCAAAACGGGACTTGTGGAGATGTGCACCAAGGTTATGAAGAGAAGAAAGTAGAAAGCAGTTGTTGTTGTTGGTCGCAATTCTACTCAAGTAATAAAGCAAGAGAAAAAAAGTTAATGGTAGATCTATCCTTTTTTTGGAAGGGGGGGGGGGGACTGCTTGGACTTTTGATTGGGGAAGCATAGTGTTGCATTCTTCGTCTGTGGTCATTTTCACCAACATCTCCCTTGATGGTTGCAATGGAAATGGAGATCAAAAAAAGGATGTTGATTTCGCATATATATATATTTTCCCACCCCTTCTTACTCTCATCTTACACTTGTTTTTCTTCATCATTTCCTTTCGCTCTCTGATCGCTTGTTTTTGGCTCTTTCTCACTAGTGTTCCGAAACACACAGTCTCTTTCATTGAGTAGTGTTGATGGGGGAAAAAGAGGTAGGCTATACAGGTGAGAAGGAGACTGGAAAGAGTGTTTCCATGTACGAGTACGTGGTGTACAAGATACGAACCATGTTGCATATTCGATCAAGATGACAAATCTTGTCGCACAATTTTTAGTAGAGTCTATCATTCTTCAAACTCACTACTCATCTCCTAACAAAAAAACCCCCGTACATCTATATATCCGCCTCAAACGGCCTTACCACCTGTCCCTTTTCCTGCAAGTAATCCTTAACCTGCTTAACCGTGTACTCGCCTCTGTGGAACTGCAAAAGGATTAGTCAAACACATCCATTACGTACTTTGGGTTCTAGTGACTTACCATTCCAGCACCCAATGCAGCATCCGTCCTCGTCTTCGCAAACACCTCCTCAAAATGCCCCGGGTTTCCCGCCCCACTACTCGCAATGACTGGAATCTTAATCGCAGCCTTGACATCATTGATGAGTTCAGTGTCGAACCCGCTATTGCTGCCATCCTTATCTATGCAGTTAAGTAGAATCTCGCCGGCGCCCATAGCCTCGACAGCTTGGACAAGCTGGCGGACATCAAAGTCTCTGCCTTCACGTCCGCCCTTGATGGTGCACTGGTACCAGCAGTATTCCTCGCCGTTGGGGCCGGGGACAGCCGTCTTGATGGTGTGGTGGGGCGTTGCGTCGGGGGAGGCGACGTATACGCGTTTGGGGTCTACGCTGATGACGACGGCTTGGTTGCCGTAGGCTGAAGAGATGGTTTCGATGGCGGTAGTGCCGGAGAGTTTGCTGCCTCGTGCGTAGTATTCTTCGGCTGCGGTTACGGCGTCGGAGCCGATGCTTACTTTGTCTGCACCAGACTTGAAGTACATGGTGGCGATGTCCAGGGCGGAGATCTTGGTGCCGTCGGTGTCAACGGTGTCGCGGATGCCTCCGCCAATTGTGAGGGGGACGAAGACTGTTTCGCTTGTGCGACGAAGGATCTCGAGCATTGGAGTATCGGCAACAGGGCAGTTGCGGAAGGAAGTGATGTTCAAGAAGGTGACTTCGTCAGCGCCTTGCTCGTAGTACTTCTTGGCCATTTCGACGGGTTTGCCTAAGTTTCGTACTTCGTTGCCAGCACCAGACTTTTCGCGCACATCATACTGATCGCCTTTTGTCACGACGAGGTCACCCTGGTCGTTGGTTCGTACGTCGAGGCATGCAATAACTCGTCTTGTAAGGCCTTCTTTCGTGTCAACTGCCGATGGCTTCTCAGGCAGCTTCTGTGTCTTCTTTCCTTCCAAAAAAGCCTTAAGAACGCGAAGACCTGCAGCACCACTCTTTTCGGGGTGGAACTGCGTAACGAAGATATTGTCTTTTGCCACTGCGCCAACAAACTCCTCGTCACCGTATCGCGCGGTTGCGACTGTCCACCCCTCCTTCTCCAACTTGCCCTCCTCGTAAGGCACAGCATACGAGTGAACATAGTAGTATTTGGAAGTCGGTCGAAGCCCGTATAATGACTCATCTGTCACCTCACCAGGCCGTGATGTCTTTGCGCTGTTCCATCCGATGTGAGGTACACTCTTGTCTGTGTCTTGAAATCTACGCAGGCGCGCTGGTACCACGCCCAATCCCTTGACCTGTTCATCTTCTTCAGATCCTTCAAATAGCGCCTGTAGGCCGACGCATATTCCCATAAAAGGCTTCCCAGCCTTGATGTGTTCGCGAATCGGCTCAGTGTAACCAGCCCTTTCCAATTGAGACATACAGTGGCCAAAGTGTCCAACACCAGGGATGATGAGTTTCTATGGGCGATGCTGTATCAGCACTTGTCAATTCGTGTACACCTTTTGGTCATGGAGCAGTAGTACCTCTGCCGCGGAAACTTGAGCAGGTGACTTGACCCATTCTACCGTGTAGCCAACTTTTTCAATGGCATTGACGAGGGAGCGGACGTTGCCAGCAACATAGTCGAGCATATGAACGGTCGGCATGGCGAAATACTGTTTTCAATGTTTCGAATGATAGTAAGGAACTGTCTGACTCCAAATGACGCGGTGGAAGGAAATTTGGATGCCCCACGCCGTCATTGGAGGGAGGGGCAGCTACAACCACACTAACGGCTAGTGCCCGCAGAATCCCTGTCCGACAAATCTTTGGATCTCCGTCCTCCGCGCAACATTTTCCAAAAGACGCCGTCTTCACATCCACAACCCGTAAACTCCCACACGCACCCAGTCGCACGTCGTCGCAATGGTGCGCAAACTCAAGCATCATGAGCAGAAGCTCTTGAAGAAGGTATGCGCCTGTTGGGCTGAGTTCCACCACGCGACGGAGCACCTCAAATGCTAATTCTATGCTGTTAGGTCGACTTCAACACATACAAGAGCGACAATGAGTAAGTACAATGCGCTATTTATATCTTTGGAGTGGTACTAATTCCGTGCCAGTCACCGAGAAGCAGCGGTAATGCGACGCTATGCCATCCAAGGCCGAGATGACTACCGAAAGTACAACCAGCTCGCTGGTTCATTGCGACAGCTTGCCCATAAGATTGCCGCCCTCGACCCTTCGGATCCCTTTCGACGAAAGCACGAAGACCTCATGTTAGAAAAGCTATGGGACATGGGCATTCTTGGCACCGGTGGTGGAGGCAGGGGAAAGCTGAGCGACATCGAGCACAAGGTCACCGTCTCTGCTTTTGCGCGGAGAAGGCTGCCTGTTGTCATGACACGCCTGCGCATGGCTGATCACATCCAAGCCGCTACCACGCTTATAGAGCAAGGTCACGTCCGAGTGGGAACAGATGTCATCACAGATCCCGCCTACCTTGTCACCAGGAACATGGAGGACTTTGTGACCTGGGTTGACTCTTCCAAGATTAAGCGAAATATTATGAAATACCGCGACAAGCTGGACGACTTCGAGCTGGAGGCTTTGTAAGGGACATGGCGGTTTTCCAACAGGCGGCGTTTTGGTCATTTCGGCATTTCAAGGCGTTTTGTATTGGCGATATCCGACAATAAGAAGGAAAGCATCAGATATTTATCGGCACGAGTTCTTTTATCGATTTCCTGGCACCGCTGGCAACATCAAACTTCGACTGCCAGCACTTCTACTACATTTCCGAACCATGGTCTGCAAATCAACTAAAAAAAAGGATTGAGGATGTAACAGCATGGAATCAAAAGTTGCTACTCTCTCAAGCTGTTCCGAACCCTCTTGTTGCGTCCCCGGGCAAACTCGTCTCAAATTCATATATTGACAAGATCTCGCACGACATTGGGAAAAGTAGGACAAGAGGTACGGCGAATGCCTTGCTACTGATTAGTATCTGCCTAGGTGCGATTGCACTCACAATGCAGTCAAAACATGAATGTACATCAGAACCTAGCTTGCCAATATATGCGCCCGAGTCCCAAGTAATTCAAGAAAAGCAGTAGGCAGCGCAGTTATACCAATATGTATCTCTGCCTTAGCGCTTCTCTCAGTTTCACCATCAGCATACTCTAGCTCCGCTTCTTCTGTCCTCCTGCCGGCCTATACTGTTACGCACAGTTGGCCGAGGAGCCTAGCCACTAGGATCTCGTATATGCCGAACTTGAACTTGAGCTCAAATATTTTGTGACATCAAGTTAAATATAGCACACAAAATCCTGAACGCAGTGTGCAGTGGTGGGGGCGGCGAGCTTACCCAGTTCTCATGAAGGTGGGAATGTGGGTCTACTCACGAACGCGCGGGGCATACGTACACAAGACCTACATGTGTACTGCTACCGAAAACCAGCCGAAGCGTTTTTTAGATCATCTGGAATGCTGTTTTTAGGCCTGATTATGAATATCACACGGGAGCATATCAGCCATCGGTCCCATGTAAAATTAGTGCCAGTACTAATAATCAACGGTTACGGCTCAAAGGAAAGATAATACTTCTACCTAAGATCTCAGATATCTCGAATCACTTCAAATGCTAGTGCTGTCACTGTACCGTCAGATTTCTTTTTCCATAGTAGGCAACTGTCGACGATTATTTACGATATGCTACTCAACCTCCAGCATCACGTACGACTTCCCCTGCTCAAAATCATGACGCCTATCACGTGCTATAAAGAGACCATATAAACAAGGCAGACACCAACATCCATTATTATGGGCCACCGGTGAGAAGGAAGGATGAGCAGGATTCTCAGAATTGCTAAGTGTCAACTCGTGATTGGCTCGTGGTCATCCCTACCTGCCACGTACGGGGCTGTGTCAGGGCACTCAGAGCAGCCTTGTCAAGTTATTGACGTTATCCAAAAACCGGTCAACCAAATGGCGAAGCACAGGCTTCTGCGCCTCCCAAGAAACAGATGTATTACCATATATGTTTTCAACCCCTCAGGATGTCCATATGCATATCAACTACTCTTCGTGACCACCACCTTCTAAAACCGTATCTATGGTTGAAAAGCTAAGAACGTTCCATTTTGCATTAGAATTATCTCTTCATAACTCCATCATTCAGGATGAAGTACAGGCCTCTTGACGACACGAAAAACGAAATCCGAGTCCTTAGGTTCCTTGATGTATCCAATCCTGTCTCAGCTGAAAATCCTATCAAATGTTCTATTGAAAACGTTCCGCTGGAATACTCTCCTCACTTCCAGCCCCGTCAAGAGAGCAGGCAAGGTCAAATCGACCCGGTAGCGTGGGATGTTTTTACTACGTGCGTAGATCTGCGAGATTCGACACTGGAGCAAACGACACTTGACAAGGCTACATACATTGGCATCTCCCAAAATCACACTCACACTAGCCACTTCCGTTACGCTTGGGGCGATTTTGAGGCGCTGTCTTATACCTGGGGTAAAGGAGGCAAGACAAAGCGCATTCGCGTAAACGAAGTTGACATCGCTGTACCAACCAATCTCGAGAACGCACTAAGAGCTTTGCGTGATCTGCAAGAGACACGTTTGGGTATGTGTTATTGGGTGGATTGGTTATGCATCAATCAGGAAGATAGGGGAGAGCAAAACAAGCAGGTCAAACGCATGAATGACATCTATGGTCGGGCTAGGGCTGTAGTTGTCTGGCTAGGCCAGGAAGAGGAAACGGACAGCGATGCAGTTAAGACGATGCGTTTTCTTTGTCGCAACCCTTGTCACGAAGATATACTGAAACTTCCAAGGGATTTGCTGCTTGACGCATGGCCTGCACTCTTCGCCTTTACAAAAAAGATTTACTGGACCCGATCTTGGATCATCCAAGAGCTGGCTATGAATCACAATTCGACTTTGTTACTATGTGGAAAATTCAAGCTTACAAGACGAATGATACGCTTGGGTGCTCTGTACTGCCAGAAATTTTTGAAAACTACAGAAGAGTGGGATTGTCGCTCCGATGATTACTCAGGGCAAGATGCATGGTCCCTAGCTAGTCGAATGCATCGTCTAGTAAGTCTTGCCTTCAATCCAAGCGTTGGAATAAACTTGGACCACTTGTCGAGTCTTACACGCTGGGCCAAAGCCTCCCGTGACAAAGACAAAGTGTATAGCATACTCGGCTTACTAGATCCTGTGATCTCTGCGGATGTCATACCGGATTACTTTCTTTCCGAGCAGCAAATCTTTACAGATTTCACCACATCTGTTGTCAAAAACTGGGGTAATCCAGATTACATCATGGTAGGAGGCATTCCCACCAGTGAGGGGTGGCCGTCATGGGTACCTGATTGGAGACAGCCGTTTTTACGTTACCATATTCACTACTTTCGAAAATGTCAAGCAAGCGGAGATCTACAAGCTATATTTCGATTTGAGAAAGGGGAGAGGAGTGGATGTCTTCTTATCTGCAGTGGTTTTCATGTGGATACCGTGGATAAAGTTGCTGCGGAAACTTCCCAAATTCAGCACTCTATGCACTTGAGTAACAATACCGCCCCAAATAGGTATGGTGACCTTATACGTCAAGCGCTTCATCAAACCATTCTCTTGGGCTATCCTGGACTAAGGGAAGAACTACTCCTCAGGATACCATGGATTCAAGAACCGGATACATATTCAGTTTCGGCCAACCACTTCGGTGACCAAGAGCGGCTTAAACCTTTTCAGTCGAGAAACTATAAGCGATTTCACAAGTTCAGAGAGAATAATAAATATTTTCAAGTTGGAGGTCAAGATTTACAAAGTTTCTTCCCACAGCACCCCGATAGAAGTCCTTACAATTCTAAAACCGCCGAACTTATGTCTCTAGCATTTATTTCTTTGGAACAAAGAACCCTCATCACGACAACAACTGGATACTTAGGCCTAGCTCCAATAGCTGTTCAGAGAGGAGATGTGGTGGCTATATTGTTTGGATCGAAATGCCCAATAGTTCTAAGACCAGCCAGCGACAATCGTTTTCAGGTTGTCGGGGAATGTTATGTCCATGGACTCATGAACGGGGAAATCTTAAGGCACCTGTCTGATGGAAATGTTGTCCAGAGAGAGTTTGTCATATGTTAGTAGAGCTCAATATGTCACGTCTTTGGCAAAACGTAAGAGTATGGTCGTAGAAGTTTTGAAATACCTTCTCGTATCTGAATCAAAATTCAGCCAACTGTGATAGATCATAGTTACATTCGTGATCTGCATCTAAAGCTCTTAATTGGCCCTCTACGGAAACAAGGCAAATTTGTATAGCTTTGATAGCGCATTACTGAATTGAAGTTTCCAAAGCTCTAGGATACGGCAGCTTCCACTGATTTCTTATTTTGTAACGCTTTCCGATCCGATTCCTGAACTGCGACTGTCTTGCTTGTATACTTTCTCCTATCCACACTCGGAATGAAGAAAGCTGCTATAACGCCCAAAAGCCCAAAAGCCAGCGCAACGAGATAAGATAGATGTGCTCCCTCTAGGTAGGCTTGCTTGTTTCCCAGGCTAGCCGCAGCTTGAATGTCAGGTGTGATACCTGGAATCGCCGCATATGTAGCAGCACTATTTGCTCTCGCGGCTGCAATGAGCCTAGTAACGATGGCAGAAGGGAGTTCAAACGGAGCTAGGTTAGATCTCACACGTTCAGGTAGCACGTCTCCATATTTGTTGTTGGTAACGTTTCCGAAAATGGCGGTCGCAACTGCACCAGCGAGGAGGCGCGAAGTGCCTGCCAGGCCAGCTGCAGTGCCTATGTCTTCTTGATAAACTATCCCGAATCCGACCAGAACCATGCCGTTGAGCAAGTTGACCGATGTGCATGTTGAGATGATGACAGTAAGAACGATCGATTTCACGGGGTTGTTCATCGTGGAGGTTGACATGGCGCCAACACAAGCGGTTTGCAAAGCGACGGCAAACATGATGACCCAACGTTGATGACCGATGTATTTGCTGAAAGCCACAATGATACCGCCAATGATAGTACCTAGTGGGAGAACTTCGGCGTATAAGCCCTTTGAGATCTCATCGGTTGCATAAATAAGCTGCGAGAGACGGGGCCACAGCGTTGCGTTCGAATAGTACTGCATCCCACCGATAGCCATGACCAGCATGGGAACGGTAAAATGTCTCAAAGCCCTGAAAAGGCGGGGTGGGAATAGAGGCGCAGAAAGGGTATAGTAGGCTTCGTAGAATCCCAATCCGATCAGCGTGAGTAGGCCAATGATAATAGGAGCGAGTACTGTTGCGGATATCCATGGTGCCATTGAACCACCCCAACTCACCCCAACAATAAACAGAGTACATCCAGCGAGGAACAAAAACAACCCCAGCCAGTCAAACTCCCTAAGAAGCTGCCCAGCGGACTTACCATGCTCTTTCCTCTTCTGCTCCCAAGACGGCGGATTATAAAACAAAATCAGCAGACCGAGGTTGACAACCTGAAAAGCGATCATAACATAATAGCAAATCCGCCAATTCCCCGTCTCTTTGATAATAACCCAACTCACCAACGGCATAACTTGCGCCACAATCGACGCAGCATCAAACAGCCCAATCGTAACATGCCGATACGCACTCGGCACAATCTCCTGCACCGCTCCAAACGCCATCTCCAGAAACCCGGAGCCGCAGCCAAACAGCGCGCCTCCGGCAATCATCTGGTTGATGCTCTGGCCGGTGGCACTGACGATGCTCCCGATGATGAGGATGATGGCGCCGGCGATGAAGAAGTAGCGGCGTCCGAAGATGTCGGACAGGCGACCCCCGACTGTGACGAACATGGCGCCTCCGAGGTTCCAGGATATTGTTATCCAAGTATAGCGTGGGTCGGGACCTAGGTCGGTGTTGATGTAGGTAAGGATTGCGGGTGGGATGAGGAGGGTGAAGAGGTAGGCGTTGTAGCACATTGCCATTGAGATGGCGGCCATCAGGGTGTTGACTGAAGTTTGGAGATTTGATGAGTAGTTGTTTGGTGATTAAAAGTAAATTTGTCTTTGAAGTGATACGCACATGTGAAGCCTACATCTTCTCCAGTAGTTTGCAGATGGCGGACAATTTCTTCGTTCGCATCTTCCTCTTCCGAACTCGAATGACGGTCTGGGATATCCGCATTGCTGATGTTGTTTACATTCTCGATGCGTATTGAGGATGGTTTTTCAATTTCCACTTGTCCAGCCATGGTGAAATTGAATTGGAAAGTCACTATGAGCCAATGGAAGATCTTTTTCCACGAAGATTCAGAAAAAGAAATGGATCGTACATTCAAGTACCGGGAAAATGACAAGTGTTAAGGATCAACATGAGACTTCATATGGTCTTCTCTCCGACCCCCACACTAGCCGCGACCCCAGGATATGCTCATCAGTTCTGTCCTACACTAAACACGCCACTACTGCATCGAGTTGTTCAAAAGCTGGGTAACTTTTCGGGGGCACTCCACCCACCCGCTGATGGTCCCCGCTACCGCCCATTTCAGCTAAGCACGACAGGTGTAGTGGCGTCGATCACGTCGTGTAATTGGTGCACGGACTAAGGAATCGGAAAAGGTTAGCCAAGGAGACCAAACTTTTGGAGATTCGCTATGGGTATTGTTGTCCTTTCGCAAGCGCAAAAGTTCCATCACTAATTGTGTTAATATGCTAATGAAGTGGTGGCAAAAGTAGGTGGATTGTTAGAATTCAGCGCAACCATGTCTGAAATCAGATGAGATTGTTTGAGCCAAGCGGATAGATCTAAAAGAGTGATACATGGTGTTTATAATTGCCATGTTATTTTTTCCAATTGAAATTGAGATGCAGGGTTCATCTACTCAGGCCCTGATCCCACGTTTCAACCACGTGCAAATACCCGGACCCCCGCACACCCCTCCCGCTGGCCCATCCGGCCTATCCGCTACAACCAATTGAACTTTGAACCTAGTCTTTCTTCTCATTTTCCATTGCGGCAATTTCGATATCAGTCTTGTGCCAATAATGGGTGAGATCTCCTACTGGCAGATTGACGGTCCAGCGCATTTCAGCCATCATGATCACCATGAGCATATACCATCCCAATACCGCCACTACGAAGTTCAGAGCGCCACCAGCCTGTGAAAAATTAGAGTAATCTAGAAACCAAGGACCGAGATTCAAACTTACCTTCTGCAACTTCATTGCTTTACCAAAGTTTCCTTTACTGACCTCCCAGTATGCTGCACTGAGCAACCAGGTAGCTGTCGCCGCCAACCAAAAAATTCCTACGAAGACAAGATTCATCCTGATTGTGAAGATTCCGAAGGTCGCCATAGCGAAGCCCCAGACGATACAGAATAGTGCAAGGCCAGCATTCAACTCTTTGCTTACTGCGCCCTCTGCAGCGTTTCCAGTAGCTGAGTAAGAGGCAGCGATGCCAGCCGAAGGGAGTTGCAGTAGTCCAAACGATAGCCAGAAAACCGAGAACAATCCAGTGACCATCATTGGAAAGAACTGTGCTTGAATCCAGAGAAATATGCAAGATAGTGTGAGCAGAAGAGGGCCAGTGAAAAAGAAGATGCCCCTGGTAATCGTTAACACGCAACTGAAAGGTAAGAACTGGCTATTTGCTTACGCGATGGACTGCAGACCACTTGCGCCGCCCCATCCCATGAGAACCATAGCAAAGGAGAAGGTGGAGATTACGAAACTAGAAGTGAAGCTTAGTATACCAGACATCAAGGCGCACACATTGTCAAGTCATACCCTAAGAAACCGAGAGGAACGGCATTCGCGTACTGGGTGACGCGTTCATTGGCATGTGGGACCTTTGGCGCCAAGTACAACTTCTCGAACAGCTCCGGACTAATGGTTATATTTGTTTGAGCATGTGTGAGTCTGGGTTCTTTGTCGATATGATCAGAAGCGACGCTCGTGTGCGAGTGAGTCGGCTGTACTGGGGAAGTTACAGTCGCCATCTTTGCAAAGAAAACTGGAAGCAAGGGACACCGATCAAAGATCGAAGGAGACAGTGTTCATTTATGAGTAAAAGACGGGATGTTAGGGTCTTCCCTATTGCGTTACCCTCTGTGAGCACATTAAACTGCGGGGTATATCAGTATACTGGACTTGATCGTTCATTCAACAGACTAGAATATAATTTGCAGTAGGCCCGCTGCGGAACCCAGGGCCGCAGGTTTCAGCCCGTTGTCCCGTTAAATGTCACTCGCTATTCGTCAGATGTCACCATTGAGCCTCAGCGGTACCGCAGATGCGCTTGATAAAAGGTTTAGTGGGTCCGCAAAATGGCCGGGACTAAGAGATGCTGACCCAACCGGTGACAGCTGTCAGGATTTACCCAGAAGCATGGTGTGAAGCAGGGTCCTGTACTCGACCTTTCGTCTTCTCGAAAGTGATCTTGGTTGGTTGCCTGTGCGCCATGTACCTTGGCGGAGTCCGTTCCATCGCACCCGACGATCTCAACCAACGTCCAACCCCGCAAGCCAAGTTCACATCAACAGACCAGGGTCTCGACAAAGAAAAGGGTTGATTTGTGTATGTGTGCACTGACAGGCACTAACAAAGTAACTGCTCCGAATATATACAAGGTTTGAGCCGCGACAAGGTGTACGAATTCAACGAGAAAGACGCGACGAGAGGAGATAAGAATGTATGAAAAAACAAAAGAGGCGTTAGCGAGTGTAAGAAGGTTAGAAGGCGAAAGATAAAGAAAAAGAAAAACCCTAGACCCTAAGGCCACACCTTAGGACACGCTCCACGCTCGCGCCACCGTCGCCAAAGTTCGCATATGGAACGCCTAGTCTAGCCGGAAAGTCGAACGGCCCTCAATGAGAGGCGGCCATCGCTTCTTGAGACCAGAATCATCTTGGGGCCACACATCCGTAGTACCAGCCTTGTACGCAGCCCAGTTGTTGCAGTTGTTGTTCCACTCGGACCCAGCGGCCGGCAGATTGATTTCCTGCTTACGTTCAAGAAACTGAACACTGAGACCCATGCCTACGTGGAAAGCCTATGGAAATATTAGCATGGGGATTCATAGCGAAGGAGCAAGTATCAGACTTACAATGTGGCAATGCATCAGCCAAGCTCCTGGGTTGTCGGTAGGGTAAGCGAGAACTAGCCAGCCACCACCCCTAAGCTGGACGACGTCCCGACGAGGTGGGTTTGTGAAGCGCAGCTGACTAAAGTGGGTAGTGGAATTGAATTGGCCGTCTCCTGCGCCTAGGACGTAGCTGTCGTGTCCGTGAAGATGGATGGGGTGAGCAATGGGTGGGGCTCCTACAGCTTGTTGAATCACCCAGTAGGTCCATGTGGATGCAGAAGTCGAGGGAACTTGAACAACATTGTACGACTGAGGGAAGCTGTTATTGTTCTCCGCAACATACTGGACAGTAGGCTTTCCAGGGTCGATGATCATCGAGGTACCGTTGATGGTCCACAGCACGGTGTTGCCGTTCGCCGCGACAGGACCGAAAGCGACAGGTAGAGTCTTGGACTGGGCAGCGAAGGTGCTGCTGGGTACATCCTTTGCAATCTTGGGTGTCGTCACTGGGTCGACGCATGCGGTAAATGGGGAAGCGGGGGCGGTCGAAGTAGGGTCAGCCACAGTTTGTCCTTGGTACGTAAAGATAGCACGGCCTTCGAGAGCGGAGCGGGATTGACAGAGTCCGTCGGCCACAGCACGGAACCAATAGTTTCCTGCTGTCTGGTTTGCGGTGAAGACGACGTCGTAGCGCTGACCGATTCCGATCTGGAGATGAGTAGTGTTGTATGGGTTGACGGGCACAAAGTCCGTTGCGATGACTTGGAATGGGTGGCCGTCGAGATTAACCAACATGTTGGTGTCAACTGCAGTGTTGACAAGTCGTAGCCTATAGCGCTTTCCAGCTTGGATAGTGACCTTGTTCCATGAGCCACCTCCAGCGGCGTTCTTAGCTGTTCCATTGATCAAGATGTTGTCTCCAACTGGCGGACCCAATCCAGCTTGTCCATTCTGGAAGGCGATGGAGGCAGCTTGGTATGCTGTGTTGTAGTACCAATCTGTGATTGGCATAACGCCGAGATCTTCGTCATAGTTTGCCGTTGCTGGCCCATTGACAATGACGGTACCGACAACACCATCTCCGTATTGGTGCGAGAAGTGTGAGTGGTACCAAGTTGTCCCATACTCGGTGGCTTGGAACTCGTAGGTCCTCAAGTCACCCGGGGCCAGAGCGCACTCAGTGATACCGTTTACACCATCTTGGATGTTTTTGTTAAGCATGCGGAAGCCGTGCCAGTGAAAGGAAGTGCCGTTCGATTGCAAAAGATTTCGTACAGTGACTCTGATGGTGTCTCCCCAATTGGCGACGATCGTTGGTCCTGGGTATCTTCCGTTGATAAGCATGCAAACCCTCGACCCAGCACCATCGGGGTTGCACGTCGTGTTCTCAACCCTCAAATTGTACGAGCGAACAACTCCAGTATTGGGCCAGGACGTGTACATGTCAGTTGAAGACGTGAAGCCTGGAGCCCAACAATGCCTCGTGTTTGGGGTATTTCCAACATTGATACAGGAGGCTGGTGACTGGCGCTCTTCGAGGCCATTACGCTTGGGCGTAAAAGGAGCGAAAGTAGGGAACTCATTAGGAATAGCTGCTGCGTTGGCAAAGGAATAGGAAAGCCCGAGCAGGACAGTCCCAAGGAAGTGAATAGACTTCATTGTACAGAGGTACAATGGAAAGTAAAGAGTGTTCTTCTGTAAAGACTGGAAGAAGTAAGAGAAGGTCGGTTTCCAATGTATCTCTTGCAGTTCAAGTTCTGCCCTGATGTACAGAAGCAGCGTGTTTCCGACTCCTTATATAAGCTCGCAACCCCGAGGACTCTTCATCATATACATCATGAGCTATGCTCATCGTATGACTAGACAAGACTGGGCTTGTCCGTGAAACGCCTTCAATATTTACGGACTCAGGAGATATGTGCCCCTTTTCCATGTTAGTAGTTGAATACGAGAGGATGGTCAGCTATATTCATACTCGCCGGAGATTTGGTGTTGTGAAAACAGTTGAAGGCGTCGAATAGTGAGATGCCTTTCCAGCAATGCATACTAGTGAAAAACTCAGCCCGCAACTGACTGCATAATCTATCGCTCGAATAGTCAACATCTATACCGATTTTTTATTGTTGTGTCCTCTCCGAGTCAACTTTAGCACTAGAATGGCAGTCTATTCAAAGCCACATAAGGATTCACGGGCTCCGAAATCGACAGTCCGAGGATACCAGTCCGAAACCGGTAGTTTTGGGCAGTTCGAGACGGTTCAGTATAGCTTGTAGAAGCGAGATGGCTGCTAAGATGTCAGCCATGGCTGTAACATGTGCCTATTCTCATTATGTGCTGGTTTGCGACCAATCACTCAAAATCATGGGAACCGAGTATGTAGGTCATTCGCGCCTCATGGAGAGGAAGTCCGAAGGCCGGACGTTTAGACTAGACGTGTTAGGAAACGCGCGTGAGAGCCCGAGAAAACATGTGCGAACGACATATCGAACGGCGAAATCTATTGAACAACAGAGTATCTATCTAGAAACTCGGTGACTTGGTTTCCAATGCGTCGTTTACTGTTCCTGATTTTCGAAGCTAGGGTAGCCCCTGTGCAATTTTCTAACGTGGCAGCAGTTCAGGCTGGAGATTCTGCATAGCAGATTCAAGAAAACTGTCGTTCAGTAACCCTTGGCGATACAAGTCCAATGTGAGCCAGGCCCCATTCTTATTCTTTATAGGCAATATCCGACCCAAAATTCACATGCACTTCCAAATTCCTAGAAAAGGTAATTAATGGAAAGTATAATTAATGCTTACCGACATATCTCCAGGTTACGTGCATGCCGCTAGTTCTAGAATGTATTCTTTTTTCGTGCAATATCCGAGAACCTCATGGGTCAAGTCTTGAAAGGTTCACCGACACTACAGCTATTTTCAGGTTAAATGTATTAAGTTTGTGGTAACCGTTACATGGAAATAGGATTGTGTCGCATCCCTAGAATCCTGGATTATGTGCCTCGGCAAGCTCAGCGGTACGTTATCTACACTACCACTGAGTATAATCACCTTCAAAAAACACTAAGATGAAATGCATGATCATCCTGCGCTTGGCCATGTCTTCGTGAATCCGGCGTTGGCATCGGAGTCTGTAGCGCCATGGCTGCAGAGCTGTGCCTTACTTAAGCGTGTAGGCGAAGTCCGAGAAGTAAGCGAACGGACAATCGACACCGAGTACTTCATGCCGTACGATTCTGATTGGAAGAAACCAATTAGTATTGAACATGTGGAAATGAGAGCGACGAGAGTAGGATTACCAGACTTGCTGCGCAACTACTACGGATGGATCAGAGGCTTAATGGCCTGACAGGTCTGCACGCCATTCTATAACATGCTGTAAAGCTACGAAATCAATCATGTCGAATGCGAACTGAAAACAATGTGGCGTATTTGATGAAACCTTGTGCACTGAGATTTTGTTATGATCTAACGTCGCCGCTGTGACGCGTCTGTGTACAAACAGCTTGCCTTCGGTGTTGATGCGGGGTGTAGTCTGACCAAACCCAACCCATCGTTGATGAAGAAAACGAGCTACAACAATCTCTACCTGCCATCATTTGGTTCAAATCCTGGCCCCGGTAATTCAAAGCCCTCCTCTGAGAATCCTGGGGCGACGGTCGTCCCAACAAGCGTCCAGGTGCCCAAACTGGTAGCTCTTTGCCAGCGCCCTTTCTCGATGACGACTTGTGGACTATGGTTAGCGAAAAAATCATTCCCGAGGAGTCTATGTTCGGTCGCTGTCCCATTATTCCACGACAGGTCCATTTGCAACGGTGCGCCTGCGTAATAATGCCAGATCTCGACAGCGTCGACTACGCGATGCCAGTATGAAGGCCCGACTTCACCCTCTAATAGGTAATAAATAGCCGTAGAGTAGGACCGATTGTTAAGGTTACTGGCATCTTCGAATGTTTGTCGATAATAGCCTTTTTCTGGGTTTGGTTCGAGATGAAGCCTGTCGATGACGTCTTGTGCGCTTAGGCCGTCTCTGTGCGAAGCAGACACTCCAAGTAGCGATATCGCAAACCAGATACTAGAAGATTTCTTCATGCTCATAAACTATGTCTTTGTTGTATAGTGGGGTTCGGAAGCGGCGTGCGGAGACGCACGTCGACCGCAGCACGCCATGTCACCTCGAAATCGGCACTTGCTCAAAGCGATCACGTCATTCGCCCACATAGTGTCGACTGCAATCTTGAGTTCGAAGAAGCATCAATCCCCAACTGCGCCCAAAGATGAAGATTCGCAAAAGTAACGGTTTTATCGCGTTTGCAATATTCTCGGGTATGTTTTGTAGTTATCTAACATTACCAGCAATGTTTCCTTATCGCCCATATCACGTTGCCGAGGCGGTTGATGCCCTCGAGATCGTCACTATAGTCAATAGTTACATGCCGTGGAGTTTTATAGCGGGGCTGTGTTACGGACCGAAAGCTTGATGTTACCCGCGTCTTATCGCAGCTTTCGAACGGGCTGTTTGCTTAAATTCCGTCCCCGCGAAGAGAACCACTGTATGTTCTAGCACACACTCTCTCTACCCTCGCTCTGGGCTGGAACTTTTACCAAGTCCGGTTTCTAGCCGCCATGTTCGCTTTTTTAAGATGGATGCATGCGCTAGCTATCCTATCGTTGCTGTCATTCGTTGACTCAGCAAATCAACCGATAAAAGAATTAATTGTGGACACTGATCTCTTCGACGCCATTGAGTACAGTCGCGTCCCAGCTACGGTCGAAACACTAACTTACACTACATCAGCGACACAGCAGCGCTGCTTCTTGCTTCCACTCTACCAAACACCAAACTCCTCGCTGTGAATGTCAACGTCAATTCTACATACTCGGCACTCGCTGCATCTGCCATTGTCAACTATTACGGATATTCATCCATTCCAATTGGACTACGAAGGCCATACACCAATGTGACCTCTTCTGAACCCTTTGGGAAAGAGTATGCGAGCAGAGTGGCTGCCAGATGGTCCGGAGGCTCTGTTCCTTGGTTCCAGGTCAACAAAACATGGGACCCCGTGGAATTATATCGCAAAACACTTGGCGAGGCAAAGAATAGCAGCATAACTATTGTCTCCATTGGATTCATGGGATCTCTCTCAGGTCTATTAAACTCTACAGCAGACAAATATTCCCCCTTGGATGGATACGGCCTGGTCAAAGCCAAGGTAAAGGAGTTGGTGGTAATGGGTGGCGGATACCTAGCAGAGCGGTCCCTTGATCAAGAGTACAATTTTGCCATCCAAGAAGCACCACATGTCGTTAATACATGGCCGAGCCTTGTACCCATAACTTTCATCGGAGCAGAACTCGGTGTACAAGTTTTGACAGGGGCACGATTCACTACATGCGGCCCCTCTGGCGACCCAGTAAGAACGAGTTTTGAGTGGTGGGGTGGGGCCAATATTTCACAGTATTCTTGGGATCATCTGGCAATGGCATATGCTGGTCGTGGTTTGGGTAACTGGTTCGAATATGCAAACGCAAATGGCTACAACTATGTATACCCGAACGGCACCAACATCTGGGTTGAAGACGAACGCATAACCAACCAGCACTTTCTGAAGCTGAAGACCTCAAATGAGACCGTAGCGAAGGGGCTGGAGGATTTGTTACTGCGGGGCGCATGGGCAAATGCCCAAGTGGACTGAAGCCTCGCACTAACAACAAAAGTGTTTTCTTGGTCTCAACAGATTTCTCGGCTTTTCGGACCCTTTGGTGGCTAGATCGATGCCCTCCACTATTTCGCGGCTAGGATCTCAAGTACCAAGTGTGAATACATACACTTACATACATAGACGACTAGCAAGAAACTTCCCAAGCTTGCGGGCCGTTGATCGCTTCTCACCGTAACAATGGCATGGATTTTTCCTAGTTCCAAATCTTACCAAAGTGCAGCTGACAAAATTATCCAAGATTGTGCGCATGTCTATCTTCGTCTGTGCGATGGTCAGATGATTCACTAGGATTCTTTCGACGATTCCTGACAACATCTAGGACTCACTATACGCACGGGACCCACGCTTCTCAGGACCGGATCTTACAGCAGCTCCAAGTGCGTTGAGTTCGAGAGCGGATCTTGCTGCCGAGTGGATAAGGCGGATTGCCTTTTTTAGTAATGATACTCTTCGCCAAGTGCCATGTACGCCTCCCGCCTAACGCCAAGTACACCGCGCTGTGTCGTCAGCGGCTATCACAACCAGTGTTCCTCGAGTCGCTTGCCGCTATATTTTCTATTGGTTGGAGCGAACCAAAATTCGTCGGTCAGCCTACCGGCAGACTTCACGTGCCTTCTTGGCAGGAATTGTGCGCTCCGCTGCCAAGTACAGAACTCGCTTCCGCCGAGAAGCTCCCAAGCACCATGTATCCACTATGACATAGTCCCAGAAACGGCCGCTCTATGAAAACACAACTACACGTCTTGGTACGGCCACCCCGTTGCCTGGTTGCCATGTATGGTTACATGTGCCAACATGTTGGATGGTGTGGAGAGACCGTGGAGACAAGTCTCTGGGGCAGACAGTGACCCGCTCTTTCATGGAGAGAAAAGCGGGTATCCTCTGTGCCCCCCAGAATGACTATATAACTTGAGCAGTCGCGGTTTGCTAGTGCCTGCTGCGTGTCTTCTTGTCTTATCCACTTTGTGATCGGCGGGTTTCCCTTGAACTGGGAATCATTCACCTAGATACGACCCTCGTATCTAGCCATCACTATGTCTCGCCGTAAGCCTGATATCGAGGCTACTGAGCCCACCGTCTCGTCTTCAGGCAGCAGCAAGTCCGACTTCAACACCGCACAGCATAATGAAAATACTGGCTCGCAACACCGACAAGCATCTGTAGCTGCCAAACTTCGCAACCCTCTAGCGGGTCTCAGTGAGGAACAAGTCCTGGCTGATGTCGAAGCCTGGTGCACAGAGAAGGGACTCCAAGATGACCTCGATTCCTTCCGCAAGGGCGCGCTGATCGCCCGAGTGGGCCAGCGAGAGGACGGCTTCGAATACGTGAATACCCTTTCAGAGGAAGAAAAGGACGTACTAAGACGCGAAGTTTCTCATCGATGGTCTCAACCATTCATGCTGTACTTCCTAGTCGTTCTCTGTGCTGGTTCCGCCATTGTGCAAGGAATGGATCAAACAGCCGTGAATGGCGCTCAGGTCCGTCGCTTTACCACCATTCTTCTTCAAACCTTCCCTGGCTAATCATGTTGTAGGAATTCTATTTCCGAGAATTCAATATTGGTCAAGATCAAGTATGGCTTCGCGGCCTGCTCAACGGTGCTCCATATCTCTGCTCTGCGGCTATTGGCTGCTGGTCTAATGCACCACTGAACAAATTCTTTGGTCGCCGCGGCACCATTTTCATCTCATGTATCATATCGTTCATTACTGGTATCTGGATGGCGGTCTGTGAGAGCTGTAAGTTATCTACGTACAACTTGGTTCGATTCATGCACTAACCCTCGTAAATAGGGCCAAACCTTCTCGCGGCTCGATTCATGCTGGGTTTCGCTGTGGGAGCAAAGTCTTCGACTACCCCCGTCTACGCCGCAGAGTCTGCACCAAAGACTATTCGTGGAGCCCTTACAATGATGTGGCAGGTGGGTTGAAACGTGAGATGAGTGAATTGATGACTAGCTAACATCTAATCAGATGTGGACTGCTTTCGGGATCATGCTCGGTTTTGTAGTCTCCGTTGCGTTCCAGAACGTAACCATCATCGGAGGACCGAATTCACCATGGAGGTGGATGTTGGCCAGCACCAGCCTACCTCCGTTGATCGTCTGCGTCCAAGTCTACTTCTGTCCAGAATCGCCGCGCTGGTACGTATTATCCGCTCGAATATGATCCCTGCAACAAGTATTGACAACTCCAAGGTACATGGAAAAAGGAAAATTCGACAGAGCCTTCCAGTCTCTCTGCCGCCTCCGCTGGAACAAGATACAAGCAGCACGTGACATGTACTACGCTTATAAGCTCCTTGAAATCGAAAATGCCCAACGTCAGGGCAGAAACCCGGTTCGAGAGTTCTTCCTGGTCCGTCGTAACCGACGTGCTGCTCAGAGCGCTTTCTTCGTCATGTTCATGCAACAATTCTGTGGAGTAAATGTACATCACTCCCTCAACTCTTCAATCGATCATGTTGCTAACATGTTTGTTCTCAGGTCATTGCTTACTACAGCACTTCCATCTTCCGGTCCGCCGGCTTCAGTGAATCGGAGGCACTACTGACGTCCATGGGCACGGGCATCACAAACTGGCTCTTCGCTATCCCCGCCATCTACACCATCGACACGTTTGGCCGTCGCAATCTCCTACTAACCACTTTCCCACTAATGGGAATCTGTCTGTTGTGGTGCGGCCTATCTTTCTACCTTCCTAACAACCCAGATGGCACACCAACACAAGGCCGTCTCGCATCCATCGCAGCCGCCATTTACACCTGTAAGTCCGGTCCCTCTACACCACACTCTCCACCACGCACCACCACTAACCCTTCCCCCTCAGTCATGGCTGTCTACTCCCCCGGCGAAGGTCCCGTCCCCTTCACCTACTCGGCCGAAGCCTTCCCGCTGCACCTCCGCGACGTCGGCATGTCCTTCGCGACCGCCACCTGCTGGGGCTTCAACTTCATCCTCTCCCTCACCTGGCCCGCACTCGAATCCGCATTCACGCCCACCGGTGCTTTTTGCTGGTACGCCGGCTGGAACTTTTTCGGCTTCTTCTACGCGTACTTCCTATTGCCTGAGACCAAAGCGCTGACGCTCGAGGAACTGGATACGGTGTTTGATGTGGGGAATCGACAGTTTTCCGCGTATTATAGGAGGAAATTGCCGTGGTATATTAAGAAGCATGTGCTTAGGAGGGATGTGGAGCCCATGGAGCCGCTGTTTGATCTGCATGAGCGGGGGTCTACGCACGATCTTGCGGATGAGAGGGTTGGTGGGGTGGGGGATGCGGAGGTTAGGGAGAAGGGTTCGGAGAATAAGATGTGAGCGGGCGTCTTTTTGGTGTGCTAAGTGTTGAGGGGAACAGCTGGGGTGTTTAATTTTGCGAGTAAGGAAAGGGATTGTTCTTTTCTCTTTGGTGCAGATGTTCGAAGGTAGCTTTTATTTGCAGTATACCCAGTTTTGTATCTATGAAATTTGCCATGGCCCTCGAAGGTCTTAGGTGAGCAAACAGAACAAAAGCTTGAAGCGGTGATGGAATACCTAAAAATGCGTTTCATACTGCATTGGTGAAAAATCGTGTCTTTGAAATCCAAACAAAAAAACAACCGACTGAGAGCTCTTATAATTGTTCTTTTGGACATGAATTAACTTCCAATCCTTTCATATCTATGTCTAGAAATATTCTTAGGGTCAGTGTAATAGAAATATCGTTGAATTTCAACTTTAGCTTTTCTTACTTCCAAGAAAAATAAATAGTACATAAAATAAGGAGAATAAGAGATAGCGCAAACCAGTCCAAATTGTACATTACACTGAAAATAATTTCATGGCCATCGTAAACCTGCGATATGAGGAATTCGTACTTTGGATCGCAAATATAGCCATAACTAATTTTCATCAGTATAATCTACATATTTCATTTTCTGTTGACTCATCTCTACACATGTAAGTCAAACCACGCATTATCACATTGGAACACTCAAAGAATAATAAAATGATGCGTTAAAAAGAAAAGGAGAATTTAGTATTCAGTGAAAAACAAGAAGAAAAAAATAACATGCACAATGTGTGTAGCCAAGCTTTTCAGCTAATCATTTTTTTCAATTTCCATCGGTCACTTGAAAAATACAAAAATAAAAATACAGAACATGTATCTCGCATCCAAATAAATAGTAACTAAGACGGAATTCGTGTAGTTCTACCAGTTCCAAAGTCTGCAATTTCATTCTGCAGCTCGTTGCTTGTTACAAATCACATGTATTCCATGTTTCGGGAATGGACTGATACGACACCAAAGGTATATTGAATTTTCAAAGATGGCGCATGATAATGACAATATTAAAATCTATTCATTCAAACAAGTGATCTTGGCTGGGATTCAGCCTTTCCTCATGTAATCGATATTAGCAGGTGTCTTTCGTCTTCGTAGTCCCCAGCCGAGCTCTTTAACGCTACTTCGTCCTCGACTTTTCACGCCCTTCGCGTGAGCGATCCCGGTGTTTATGTCTATTCCGATCTCGATCCCTACTCCTGCTACGACTCCATCGCCTCTCACTACGATGTGAAGATTTATGGTGGTGTCGGTCACGGCTACGGCTCCGACTTCTATGACGGTGCTTGTATCGTGAAGAGGGAGCAGAGTCGCGATCACAGGGTTTGTCATCGTGATCGTCTTTTCTCTTTCTCTTGTGATGTCTGCTCCTACTTTCTTCCTGATCTTGCGTCGTCCGCAATTCTCGCAACTCTCTATCGCGCTCCTCGGCCCATAGTTTCTTGTCACGTTTGGCCTTCTTCAGCTGGGCCTGGGCCTGTTGCATGAAAGCAAAAGGGTCGTTGGATGATATTCGGGCCAGTTCCCTCTCCTTGCGCCGCGGATCTTCGTTACCCAAGACATCCTTATTTACAAAGCCTTCGTATGCTGCTACATCGTGTGCGTTGTCGGGGTCCTTTCCGTCATCTCGCGAGGATCTCTGCTGAGTTGCGTACCAGGGCTGCTCTATTCCGCCTCTTCCAGCGGCATTCGAAAAGCGCATTGTATACTGATCTTCCAAAGCCCTTTCCTTTTTGCGCTTCTCCTTTTCAACCTCGGCATTCTTCTCGCGTTTCAAAGCCTCCTTCATGTCGACGGGGAACAAGTCGATGTGGCCGGCATGGTCGTGCAGGGGAGCATCGCTGGCTGTGCTTCGTAATTTCAAGACTTTAGCATCGTGCTTGTCTTCGCCATCGCCGTCCGGGGCTGTGATGGACTTGGCCAGGCGGATGTCCATGTCGGTGTCATCCTCACCGGCAAGCTTCCTCCTCTTTGGGCCATGTCCACGCTCGTCTCGGTTCTTCGAAGCCCGCGCATCTGAGTGTTTGGGCGAGGCTTCCTCGGGTAGTGGTGGAGGTGTTTCACCGCGTAGAATGGCAGCGCGTCGTTGGGCGTCGAGCTCTTGCATGCGCTGCTCATGGGCAGCTTCGCGGGCGGCAGCGGCAGCCTCGTCGGCCTTGACGCGCGCTACATTGTCGGCGTTGTAGACGTTCCATGACTGATAGACGTGTCAGAGCTACATTGCTATGGATCAAGAGTCGTTATCGCATACCTTCTTGCCGAGTAGGTGCCTGTATGCTCGTTAGGAGCTCCAGCGTAGTGTGGCGCAAGGGGGAGGACCTACAGAGGCATGATGCCACGTTGGGATGGTGTTGAATGGATATGGCTCAGGGTGGTGTTTCCATGGCGTCATGCACAGAATACACAGTGGTATGTGATCATCTGTACCTAGTCTGTATACTCAGTATGGGGAGCGACGTTGCATTAGCGTGGGCGGGGCTGGACGGAGGCTTGCAATGGATCGTCGCAAGCTCTCCTGATCCCAGTGCTAGTCCCGGCTTCCCCCCGCAACCCTCTCGGCACAGCAACCGTGAATGTATGTACTCCAGTACTATGGAAACCTAATTGGGCCCCATTGCCCTTATCGTGGTTTGATTACCTGCCAGGTCGCTGTGCCGTCTCGTCTCGCATTCGCTGCCTTTTTCCTTTTCCTAGCTCGCGTATCTGTACAGTCAAGCCGCCCACGGTCGACAGGCTTTGCCTAGACCACGCCAAAACCCTTTCCTCGGAACTTGACCCTGGCTTGCAAACAATCATGTACGACCTGTTCGCCAGAGTCTGTTGAGCGCTTTGTGCTTTGTCCAGAGTACTATGTCTGTCCATGCTTACTTGCATCCACTCTCCGAAATCTGCCGCTCCCTTCAAGCCCACTCCTCACCACTCTGTCCCGTCCACGGCACTTTTTCCCTTCAAGTTGCGACTCGGCTGCGCGTAGTGTCCCGTCATGCCCACCTGGCTTGTACACGGGTTTCGGTGGCCGCGTGCACAGATTCGCATACACATTATTCTCCAGAACCTCGACGATGCCGCCCCGGAGTGGCTCATGGCCCCTGCGACAGTTGATTGTATGACGAAGAACTTCAAGGAACAATGGCCAGAAACAATGGCCCAGCTGCCGAACCTGCAATTTCTTGAGCAATACGATCCTGACGACTTTACTGTCAAAGACCAGCCCCACGCATACGTCTGTGACATTGTGCACGAAGTTAAGCTTGGCGTGGATATAGAAGAAGTTCAGGGTGCGGAAATAACCGACGACCAACGCGCCGCCATGATTGAGCTGCGTGATAAGGTCTCACCAGGGGAAAAGCTGGCCTGGTTCGTCGTAGTCAATGGTGATGTCGAAAGGTGGGCTCCGCCGCTCGAGGATGATGACGCAACACCAGAGGCTAGCCTGCTCAGCCCGCACAGCCAGACGAGCAGTGTATTGCAGTCTGATATGTCGCTTGCCCCAGAGCCCGAACGACCATCAACAAGTCGGAGTCTGAAGAAGTGGCTCGGAGGAAAGCTGAGGAAAACAAAAAGGCAAGACCACTGCACCTCTTATCTACTTGCATACTGATGCGTCGTAGTGGGCGGTCCTTGAGGGGCGATGCAGTAGCTGCGGCTGAGGAGCCAGCTCCACCACTCCCACCCATCTCTCCACGCCATGCCCTCCACGCTGCCAACGGGAAAGCGCCGGAACCTCAAACTGCTGCGCCTTGAGCAAGGATGGCCATGATGAGCAAAACCGCGCTACAGGAACATATGTGAAGTACTACTGAGCGCACCTTTGATTGGACTATCATGGCAATGTACGTTACGATGTTGTCGAGATCATGTCAAGAAATTCGTTATGTATATGAAGCATGAGCACTCCGATTATGCACTACGTTTGTAATGAAAGATGTCCTCTTCTAATTCATTCCGCCTACTTCGGAGTATTAGCTGTTGTAGTACATCTTAGTTTCTGAGTTGAACTGTACCAATACAATGATGGTGCATCCGACTCTCAATTGATTGCATACAAAGAACCAGCCTGTCGCAAACTTACCTTTTGGGCTAGCGTGATTGGAGCTGTGGTGGGTGCACGTGATGCGCGTCAACCTATTCTCAAATTATTATCGACGTCGCGTCGGCTCAACGCCGCTTCAAACACCAAACTTGGCAATTACACACAACTCTGCCTCAGATAGCTGCACTAGTACCGGTAATATTGGCGACCACTTTTCCACGTCTTTCAGGTGTTCCACGGCCAGACTGCAGTGGTTTTGGCGCATCTTGCGCAACTATCCAGCCCAGGGCCCAATAACCATTTGTATCTGAGAACCGCACAAACACCGCCACCATGAGTCGACGCGACTTCTTGTCGATGCCGGCGCCCGAGAATTATGTGGCTGGATTGGGTAGAGGAGCTACGGGCTTTACAACCCGAAGCGATCTCGGTCCAGCTCGTGAGGGTCCGTCCGAGGAGCAGATGAAGGAGATGCTAGCAAAGCGCGCCGCATCGCTAGGCCAAGCCGCCCCATCTGCGTATGGTGTTACCGAAAAGAAGGAGGAAGAGAGGGATGAAGATGAAGACCGGTTTCAGGACCCCGACAACGAAGTTGGCCTCTTCTCAAGTGGTATGAACTACGACAAAGAGGATGACGAGGCAGATCGCATATACCAAGAAGTTGATGAGAAAATGGACAAACGTCGCAGAGCCAGAAGGTTAGTACCCCTCGTTTCTTTTCCACTGCCCCTCCCCTCTATCTTTATTGTCGAAGTATTCATCGTGTTTTTTTCCACGAACAGATGCCGATTGTGTCCGCCGTAGGGAAGCCCGAGAACAGAAAGAACGCGAAGAATACGAACGAAACAACCCCAAGATCCAACTCCAATTCGCCGATCTGAAACGTGCCCTTGGTGGCGTATCTGAAGAAGAATGGGCAGCATTGCCTGAGGTCGGAGATATGACGGGTAAAGCCAAGCGTGCGCGTGAAGCCCGCATGGCCAACGCCAGATCCTATGCAGTCCCAGACAGCGTTCTGGCTGCCGCATCCAAGAGTGGCGAGCTCGATACATCGATATCCACGGGAGACGCCGATGGCATGACCACCAATCTCGCAAGTATTGGTGCAGCCCAACTTTCCGCCCTCACAGTACGACTCGACTCAGCAGCCAGTGCACCCGGTGCCCAGACATCGACAGCCTCTGGTACGGCAACATCGGTAGACCCCAAGGGATACATGACTGCCCTAAGTAAGAAGGAGGCCATGGGTGAAGAGGTTCCGGTAGAGGATATCAATCGGGCGCGTGTACTTCTAGAGTCTGCCGTCAAGACCAACGTACACAACGGTCCTGGATATGTTGCGCTAGCAAGATTGGAAGAGGTGGCGGGAAAGATTCATACTGCTAAGAAGGTCATCGCCCGAGGTTGTGAGCTGTGCCCTCGATCTGTCGTAGTCTGGGAGGAAGCGATTCGGTTGAACCGCGACAACCTCCACAACGCAAAGGTCATCGCAGCAAATGGTATCAAGCAAAATACAAAGGCCGTTAAGCTGTGGCAAGCAGCGATCGACCTGGAACAGACTCCTGCGGCGCGAAAAAAGGTTACTCGACAAGCTCTGGATCACAACCCTCAGAGTGTAGAACTGTGGAAAACGCTGATCAACGATACGGAGGAGCTTGACGCTGTTCGACTTCTATTCGCCAAAGCAACCGAAACTGTTCCGCTATCTGAAGAGTTGTGGATCTCATATGCGCGCGTCTCGGAACCAGAAGCTGCACAGCAGATTCTCAACAAAGCCCGCAAAGCCATTCCCACCAGTTGGGCCATTTGGATCCATGCTTGCCGACTTCAAGAAGAGCTTGGAAAGGTGGAAATGCTAGACACGATCATGACTCGAGCTGTGAAGTCGCTCATCAAGGAAAATGCAATGATCAAGCGAGAGGAGTGGATCACGCAGGCGGAAATCTGCGAAGAGCAAGGCGACAAGGGAACAGCAACTGCCATTATCAAGGCGACTGTTGGATGGGGCCTTGACGAAGACGATGAACGCCGAGACGTCTGGCTGGAGGATGCCAGAAGCGTCTTGAACCGGAACAAGCCAGAGACGGCCAGGGCTATTCTAGGATTTGCCGTTGCCGTATTCCCCTACAGTACGACCATTTGGCATGCATTCGCCGACCTCGAGAAGCATCATGGTAACATGGACTCACTCCTTAGCGTTCTTGAACGGGCAGTCAATGCCTGTCCTACATCAGAATCGCTTTGGCTGCTTTATGCTCGAGAGATGTGGCAATCGGGTGACCCTGAAGGAGCTCGCAAGGTACTGGGCCGAAGTTTCGAGGCGCTCCCAGGTAATGAGATGCTCTACACACGTGCGGTTGACTTTGAGGTGGATGCTGGCAACTACGAACAAGCTCGTAGCTTCCTCCAAGTAGCGCGTGAATCTGCAGCTACAGACCGCATCTACATGAAGTCCGCAGTTCTTGAACGACAACTCGGAAACTTCGAAATGGCCATTGATATCTGCAACCAGGGACTGCAAAACTGGCCTGGAAGCTGGAAGCTCCATGCAATCAAGGGCCAAGTCTACGAACAGCTCTCCAAACTCCCCGAAGCCCACGAAGCCTTCAACATCGGCACCCGCGCCGCCCCCAAAGCCCCTGTCCTCTTCATCCTCCTCTCCCGCCTCCAAGTCAAACAAGGCGCCATCGTCAAAGCCCGCTCAACCCTTGACCGTGGCCGGCAGCAAAACCCAAAATCCGAGCACATCCTCCTCGAACAAGTGCGCCTCGAGCGCCGCCAAAACAACATCAGCGCAGCCCAGCAACTCATGGCCTCGGCTCTCCAACAATGCCCCAAATCCGGTCTCCTCTGGGCCGAAAAAATCATGCACCTCGAATCCCGCACCCAACGCAAACCCCGTGCCCTTGAAGCTATCAAGAAAGTGGAGAAAGACGCCTTACTTTTCTGTGTCGTCGGCCGCATCTTTTGGGCCGAACGTCGTCTCGATAAAGCGGCGACGTGGTTCGTCAAAGCCGTTACTCACGACAGCGATTTCGGAGATGCGTGGGTGTGGTATTACAAGTTTCTGCTCCAGCATGGGACGGAGGAGAAGCTGCAGGATACCCTTGCGAAAGCGGCCCTGGCGGAACCGCGGCATGGCGAGATTTGGCAGAGTGTTGCGAAGGATCCGAAAAATGCGCGGAAGAGTGTTGAGGAGATTTTGAAGTTGGCGGCGGAGGTGGCGGAGTAAGATGGATGTGGAGTTGACTGGTGTATGTGATGAGGCTTCCAACGAGAAGGGATTATGGGTATTCTGGGCACTTTCAGGAAAGGAATGGAGTATATCTTTATGTCGATAAGGAAGGTGCAAGGACATGAGGATCTTAGTTACAAATGTGATACTGAGATGTTCAGACACCCCGTATTCAAACTGTTCATTTCAAGCAAAACCTCAAGTTCCCCCCCTTCCCCCTTTTTTTTTGTCGCATTCCACTCTACTCATTACTTCTTCACCTCACCTTCCACCTCTACAACCTCCCCTTCCTTGTCCACCACCTCACCTTCCTCAACAAACATAGTCTCCTGCGCACTCCACAGCTCACTATACAACCCACTCCGATCAATAAGCTGCTGATGCGTCCCACTCTCCGCGACCCCACCCTCACTCAGCACGATAATAACGTCCGAGTCGTAAATGGTGCGGAGGCGATGGGCCACAAACACCGATGTGCGCTTCTTTTCTCTAACAAGAGAGTTGATGTGGGACAGGAGGGCCTGCTCGGTATGCGTATCTAGCGCTGACGTCTATTATTTCGTTTTGTTAGTTAAAAGAGAAAGATGGGGTGGAGGGGGGAAACGTACAGCTTCATCGAAGAACAAAAGCGGGGGATCCTTTAGTACCAATCGCGCAATGGCGAGTCTCTGTTTCTCGCCCCCGCTAATCATCATGCCGCGCTCGCCGACCATAGTGCTGTAGCCATCCGGGAACCGAGCGATTGTCTCATCGATACGGGCGCGTCGGGCTGCTTCGCGGACTTGGTCTTGGGTGGCGTCTAGATTACCGTAGTGGATGTTGTGCTGGATTGTATTGTTGAAGAGAGGCGTATCCTGCGGTACCACTCCGATTGCGCGGCGGAGACTCTCTAGATTGACGTCGCGGATATCCTGGCCGTCGATCAAGATACGACCGCCCTGTGGATCGTAGTAGCGGAATAGCAAGCGGAGGATAGTGGATTTTCCGCAGCCGCTGGGACCGACGATTGCGACTTTTTTGCCGGCGGGGATGGTCAGGGTGAGGTTTTTGATGATGGGGCGGTCGGGACGGTAGCCAAAGGATACGTTTTCGAATTTGATTTCGCCCGTCTTGAGGACGAGGGGAGGGGCATTGGGCTTGTCTTTGACGGTTACGTTTACTTTTTGGAGGTTGAAGAGGGTTTCCATGTCGAGGAGACTTTGGCGGAGTTCGCGGTACATGGAACCGAGGAAGTTGAGGGGCACGGAGAGTTGGAAGACGAGTTGGTTGACCATGACGAGGTCGCCGACTGTGAGTTGGCCGGTTGCGACGCCATTGGCTGCGAGATACATCATGGCAGTCAAAGCAGAAGAGAAGATGATATTTTGACCCGAGTTGAGGAAGGCCAGGGAAGTGGCGACCTTGATAGAAGCTTTCTCGTAGTCCTGGAGGGCCTTATCGTAACGCTTGACTTCGTGTTTTTCATTGTTGAAGTACTGCACACGTTAATAGAGAATACTAGAGAAGTTGGTCATAAGAAATACCTTGACAGCTTCGTAATTAATCATAGAATCGACTGCAACAGTAGCCGCCTTGTTATCTGCAGCATTGGCCTGTTTCCTAAACTTTGTTCTCCATGAGGTCGTCATGATGGTAAAGACAGAGTAAGCAGTCATTGTAGTGCCGGTGATGAGGGCAAACTGCCAGCCATATTGGTATGTCAGAATGCCGCATACAAGTGAGATTTCGAGTGCCGTAGGAAAAATGTGAAAGACCATGGCAGTTAGCAAGAAACTGATGCCCTTTGTACCACGATCAATGGCCCTGGTGAGACCTCCTGTTTGCCTTGATAGATGGAAACTCAGATCCAGCCTTAGTAGATGTTCATAAACACTGCAGGCCACCTTGCGAATAGCTTTTTGAGCAACACTGGCAAATACGGCGTTTCGCAATTCTTGGGATACAGTTGCACCGATACGGGTCAAACCGTCTGATCGAAGTCTCAGCCAAAATAGGACGAGTATGCATTGCTGGGTCTAGCTTACAAGCGATAATCATAGAGCCTGCCACGGTAGTCGCGGTACCGCCTACAGCAGCAAAATCTATGTTCATGGCGTCTACAATGCTCTTGAAGTAGAAGGGGACCTGCACGTTAAGCAGCTTTGCGCCAACCAGTAACCCCACACTCAGCCCAACCCTGAACCTCGTGCCCATATTGTCCTTTGGCCACAGATACTGCGACATTTCCTTGATAATGGCCCAGTCAGCCTTGCGCTGTTCCTTGTTGGTCAGGACCTGTTCTTGAAGCAATGGGTCTGCCTTTGCGACTTTGGGTTTTGTGGTAGTCGCATTGGCTGCGGGCTCGGTAGCCTCGAGTGCAGGCTTAGAGCCCGGTTTTGGCCGCTCGCCATGTGCATCTTTTCTATGAAGAGGAGATGAGGTGAAGACGCGGATACCGTGGTGTACTGGATGAAGGCGCAGCGTAGATGCGTGAAGACCCGGCCGACAGGCGGCGCGGGCAAGAGGTGGAATTAACATGACGGAACTGACATGTTAGAGACGACTGGAGTAAAGGAAAAGAACCAAAAACCCGCGTGGGTGTTCAATTGCTTGAACAAAAAGTGGCGGAAGAGAGGAAGACGAGCACGTCATATGGAGAGTACCTGGAGAAGCCCACGAGACATGGATGCAGCCCATCCCACCTTGTCTAGCGCGTTTGCGGCAGGCGGGCGGGCGAGCTTGCATCATAACGACTAATTAATTCCGGCCGATACTTACTGCTGCTAATAATAATAACTGCCATTGCGGTTACTACTACTCCTCCAACAACCCATCTCGACACCCACACATACACTACACGCCAATTGCCCGGCACAGCCATGTTACGATCGGCTGCCTCGCCCTGGGCGAACCTGGCCCGCACATGCGCACCCGCTGGTCGCTCATCAATTGCGGCGCGATGCATCAACATTTCGGCCACCAGCCCGTCGCCAGAACCAAGCCTGCAGCAGGCAGTCAGTGTTGAGGGCACCGCCACGCCCATGCACACGCCCGGTATGCATTCATCTGTGGCCTTAGCGAGGCGACCCTGCTAAAACATCTGGCCTGCGCAGACGCCCGCTTCGACGTCATTGGAACACCCTTCTCCCTCCTCTCCGTCTCCCTCTCGGCCTCGCAGACGCTCTACACTCGTCGCGGCACCCTCGTCGGCCTTAGCGGCAAGTCGGAAAACACTCTCTCTACCTTGTCCGTTCTCGAGCCTTTTCAGCGCGCGCCCGTCGGCATTCCCTTCCTCTATCAAAAAGTGTCGTCGACCAGCCCCGTCACAGCCCTCATCTCTACTAAAACCCCCATATCGAGCATTGTTTCTGTAAATCTAGACGGAAGGGATGACTGGATCATCAGCCAAAAGCAGGCGCTGCTTGCGTGGACTGGCCTCACATTGAAGCTGAAGCCGCAATACAATGTCAAGCTCGGCCTGGCACATTGGGGAAACACATACATCACAGGCCGAGGCCTACTCGCACTGACAGGAAACGGACAAATCTACCAGGTCCACGTAAAGGCTGGCGAGAGCTACGTAGCCCACCCCAGGTATGCCAACTTTTGCCCTGAACACAGACAATTCACCATCTTTGACTAACCCCACTACGCAGCAATGTGGTAGCATACACAGCCTCCAACACTCCACCCGTCCCCTTCCGCTTCAAATCGTCCAATGTGCGATTCCAAGTTCCAGACTTGGGCTTCGGCTCGCTGGTCCAGAACACACAGTTTTTCCGAACAATGAGCAAGACGGCTACATGGCGCGCGCTGGCCACCACATACCACACCCTCAAGACATGGATGCGGAGGACAGTCTGGGGAGACAGGGTGCGCTGAACACATGAACTACACTATTTACTGCATATAATAACTGACATTACCCAGCTCTTCCTCCGCTTCGAAGGCCCAACCACCATGCTCGTCCAGTCGCGTGCCTCACGTATCAGCGACGTCCTCACACTACGAGACGTCGATGAGATTGCCGACAGCCCGCCTGGCGCCGTCGAAGATGCCGTCACAAGGAAGATCAAGGAAGAGATCAAGTCGATTGGCGAACAAGGTACAAAGGCACCCATACCAAATACGGATGCATCTGGCACAGTAAGATACGCCACTATCAAAGATGGCAAGGCAGAGTTTGAGAAGCCATCTGTATAAACTCAGCAAGCAAAAATCTCCTCTTTACATACATACATACCCTTTTTTTTGCCAATTGAGCCTTATTCAAGCAAAACCACATACGTACAACTCCAGTACCAAGCCATCCTCGGGCCAAAAAAAAAGACCAGTTGCCATTGTCAAATCCATTTTCTATTCTTACCCCATCTACTTCGCCTTTCCAGCCGCCTTCTCCCTAATCCTCTCCTCCTTCTCGAACTTTTGCTCAAAGATCCTAAAAAACAACCCTAGCCACTCTTGCTCCCGATGACTCAGTTGGCGTGCAGGATTCTTCCAGCTCCCCGCTAAAATCTCTTTAACCCGTCGCCTCAGAACTTTCAGGCCGACGGCAGCACGCCATTCTCTCACCGAGAACCGTACCACGTTACCCGGTAGACTTATCACGCCGGCGTGCAGTTTGAAGTCGAGATCTGCAGCGACTATGAGGATCATGGCGAAGGGGTACGCAATGGATGTCGAGTGGGCATTGTAGAATTTGTTGCTAGACTGCATGATGTGGTAATATGATAGGAAATGTGCGGTTGATGAGCCTTTATTGACGGAGGTGGGTGCGAGGCTGACAGTCTGGTTGTTGGATATGTTGCGCCATCCTTTCCCCTCACGCGTTAGCATCTTGGGGTAGAAGGCTGTTGCGATGACGGAGTTGACGAGGAGATCGTTGTCGGAGTGGGTGTCATATTGGGGTGGGATGTCGACGAAGACGCGGTGGCGCGGTGTGCTTCTATAGCGGTTTAGGGCCCGGCGTTCGTCTTGCGTTAGTTGCACGAAGCCTGCTTCTACGAGGGACGAGAGAAGTTGCGCTTTGAGGTCTTCGACGTTGCCTAGGTTCTGGGCGCTGAGGAAGTTCTTGTGGCAGAATTGCATCTCCGATCGGCCGGCGGTTGTGCATACGGATTTCCAGGCTTTGTAGGCATTGTATGTTGTCAGAAGATCTGAGTCGCCTTTCTTGAACCCGAGGCGTGCTATATCAGCGCGCTGCTTTGCGCCAAAAGGTGTTACAAAGGGAGACTTGGAAGAAAGGATTGCAGCAATGGTGATGGCGACATCGACACAGCCAAAAGTACATGCAAGCAATACAAGTTTGCCTAAGTGTGCATCCAATGGAAGCTTCGCAATTTGGCGACCAAGCGGCGTGAGCTCTTCACTTGGTGTGAGCGCATCAACCTCCACAAGTGCATCAATGGCACGCCGGATGTTCTTAGACAAGGGTGGATCGAGAGCCTGAGCAAGCGTTGCCTCAATATCTCCCAGCTTGCAAATCTTGACACGCATGACCAGATCTTGCAGTGAAAGTCTCAGCATCTCCGGCGTCTGTTGTTCAGCCATCAAGTTGTCGTGACGGTATTTCGTAAACAGGTGGAAGCATAATCCCTCTTGGACACGGCCTGCACGACCACGGCGCTGCTTCGCATTGGCTCTTGAGATGAACGACTGTGTCAGACGTGAGAGCTGTCTTCGTTCGTCAAACCTCATCTCCTTGTGCTTGCCAACGTCAATGACACAGGTGATGTCTGGAATTGTTACTCCAGTCTCTGCAATATTCGTTGCGAGCACAATCTTGCGCACGCCCGGTGGGGGAATCAAGAATGCAGCCTGCTGGTCTTCGCTTGATATTGTGGAGTGCAATGGATACACATACCAATCGGCTTTGAACGAAGGGTGGCCAGCCAAAGTATCATTCAGTTGGCGGATTTCGGCAATACCTGGAAGGAAGACAAGAATGGCACTGCTAAAGCGGCTCAGTTGCGGGTCGTAGGCAACGGTTTCAACAAGTCGTGTAATCAAATCGTAGTCAATGGCGTATTCATCATAATTGGAGAGCACATTTCTCGTTGCAGCACTGTAACCAGGGAGTTTGCTAGGTATGCCAGATTTGTCGCTCGTGACTTCATCATCCTCGTCGTTGTCGCTGGTAGTGGTGTTGGTGTTCTGCTCGGATGCCCCCGTATAGTGCGTCAGCTCAATCGCATCCTCAAGGTATCGTGTCTGCACTGGGAAGGTGCGACCAGGTACTGTTAAGATCGGTGCGTCGTTGAGATATCGTGAGAATTTGGCGGCATCGACGGTAGCACTCATCAATATCACCTTTAGTTCAGGCCGACGTACCATCAGCGACCGCAGAATAACCAGGAGAAAGTCCGTGTCAATGGACCTTTCGTGGACCTCATCAATGATCAAATGCGTAACCTCTTGTAGAGATCCAGAAGACTCCAACATGCGGAGTACAACACCTACAGTTGCGTACACTAGACGAGTCTGTGATGACATCTTGGACTCAAGTCGGATTGCGTAACCGACTAGTGAGCGCATAGTCCCAAGGTCTTTCGGCCCCTCGCCCAACTCCTCACTCACACGTTGCGCAAGTGAAATAGCGGAGATTCGTCGGGGCTCAGTACAGTAGACTTTACATGCCTTGCCTTGTGCAAGCTCATGCTCAAGAACAAATGCTGGAATCTGCGTACTCTTTCCACACCCAGTCTCACCACAAATTATGGTGACTTGGTTCTTGTCCACCGTTGACAGAATGGATTCCTTGAAGCCAAAGACCGGAAGGTTCGATCGGTCGACAAGCATGTGTTGATATGAAGGGGTAGAGGCTTTGGCAGCCCACAACTCCCTTAGACTCTCATGTTGGCGTATTGGTGTGTTGTACCCCGAGTTTGATCCACTGGAGCCTGTAGCAGCCTGGTTGCGCATCTTGAAGCGATTCGTAAAAACAACACCATCTGACTCTTCGTTTTCCACTTGATCCTGGACGAATGAGCGGTAACGCTTTATAGCATCACGATCTGCGGCATCCAGACGCATTTTTCGACTTTCGAGAAATTCTCTATAAAGTTCTCTCCAGTTTGGTGGCAGTCGTAGATGAATCCTTTCGTCCTTTGGCGAGGCAACAGAGATGGAGAAAAGTGCAACGACTGAGATATAGCTCTCACTTTGCTCGGCGGACACGGTTGCAAGATCAATTGCTGCGAATGTAATTTGCCTTCTATAAGGAGTCGTAGTCACTCCAGCAACTTCGGTATCGTATTCGATATCGATATCTTTTGACCAGGTGATAGTAAGTGAATGCCGGCAAGTGTATACGGTAGGTGAGATGACTGCATACGACAAACGCGCACCAGAGTCCCTAACAACGTTTAGCTAGTATGTTCGAAATGGAGATCTTTTGTCGCATACCTCGAGCGAACCGCCTCCTCAAGCACTTTGCGGGGAGATAAACCGCTTGCCTTGCCAAAGTCACGTATAGTCACATCAGCAGAATTTACGCCGTTGGTTGTAGTTTCTGGTTTCGATGGCGAATCAGGAACTGCAGAGAACATTCCACCGAGCAAATCCATATCCTCCTCGTCTTGACTAGCAGCTGAGGATGCTTCAGTTGCAGGCACTCCACCTACAGTAGATTTTGGAGGTTCGTTATCATTATTTTCTTTCTGCCCCTGTGGAACCTGGGGTTGTGTGCCATTTCGCTGCCGTTTCTTGGCTTGGTTCTGGGCGATTTGATTGCGCCTGGCTGGCCACTTTGCCTCTGCTTCGTCTTCATCGAATAGGGTGTCCGACTTCAACTGTTGCAGTTGAGAGAGTAACTTCCGAACAGCTGGTGTCTGGGAAGAAATAGGCTCGGGCTTTTTCGACTTCGCGCCCTTCTGTGACTTTCGTGTGTTTGTTTCTACGAGCTGTGGGTCAATCTCGTAAAGTTTGCTCTTGATGTTGAGATATGTGGGAATAAGGTCCTCGCTATCAATATCGCTATCGATATCGCTGACTTGGACATCACTCTGGTCATTTTCGACAGGTGTAAAGCCATTAGCTCTTGCAGGCGTTGAAGCTCCTGGTGTGGCTGCGGTCTTTGGCAATGGCTCACTGGGCGGTGTAACTATTTTCGGTTAGCGAGGCGCACTAACGTTTACATGTAGGTGGACGACTTACCAGGTCGCGAAGGAGGAGGAGCGTCGGGAGCTGCACGTTTGGGCGGAGACTCTTCATAGGAAAAATTGAAATCTTCACATTGATCGAGTGCAAGCCATTCCAAGGCTTCTTGAAAGCCCCATATACCAGATGATGCATCGACACCAGCAGCGTTGGCGCACAGCCATGTTAGGACAGGTTCGATGTGATTGTCTGCGAAGCCAAGCTCACGAAGGGTCAAATCAAGCGTCCATAATTTGAAAATGGCATCTTCCTCGGTCAAAGTTTTCAGGAAAGACTGTTGGCCCTGTCTCCTGTTTGAATCATTGGACTCGGCCTGTGCTAAATGTATAATGTTGTCCAGAATCTCTCCGGACAGCCATTCATAAACTGCGATCGAGTAAGACTGGCTGCGCAGAAGCCTACGGTCGGTCTGAAAGCGTGTAACATGGCGACTGGATTCGCGGCGGACTTTGGCAGCATGTTTTTCAACTAACAATTGAAGCTCGTCGCGCTCGAGTTGGGCCTCGAGCTCTTCGGGAGTTTGTGCGATTTCCTCTTTTGGTAATGTAGCCTGCTGGGGTACCTGAGATGCCGGCTCTGGTGCTGCTTGGCTTTCTTTTGACTGCAGTTTAGAAACTTCTTTGGCCGGGACGTCAGCGGCCGACCTATCGGGCTTAGGTTTGCTGGCCACAGACGTGGTTGCAAAGCCGCGTGCAGGATTGCCGGCTGGCTTCTTCTTTTTGGCCATAGGGAAGGCTGGGGCGAATCTCCTCTTTTCTCTTTTTGGCTAATTGATACGATTCGGGGGTGCTAAGTAAGGTGAGGGGCAGGGGTGTAGTTCAAGCGGGCTGCCGTATAGAATACCTCGGAGCCTGATCCCGAGCGAGATCAAGATTGGGTAGGGCTGAGATACAGACGGGACGCATCAGGGCGCTCAGTTGGTGGAGAAGCAGCAGTAGAGACGAGGCCAGTCCAGTGGTGGGGGATTGGTGGTGGTAGGGCGATCCACACGGCGGCCGAGTGAGGCCTGAGCAGTGCGCACTGAGCGCCGAGCAGCGATGTCATTC